AAAGTGACTTACAGATCCATCTAAGTTAAGGGAGTGGAGGAACCAGCGGTAACCGGAAGTGGACTTGAATTTGATGGGCCGAGGTGACGCCTCGCTATTGGTCTGGCTTTTGCCGCAGAAAATGCAAAGGAGGGAGTCGGAGCCTCGGAGGAGATGGGCTTTGCAGTGGAGGCAGCGGTTGGGAGAGTCAGAGATGGAGTGAGGGAGGGAAGGTAGAGTGGGAAGCGAGGAGTCGTTTGGATCGTAGGAAGGGACGTTGGCTTGTTTGCGAAGTGAGATCTGGAGTTGGGTTATTAGATCCTTCGGGATTTCAACCGCCATTTTTTGCTTTACACTCTTCCCAGTTTGTGTTGGTGTTTTCTCACCGTCTCATCGCTTTCGAAGGCAAGATGGTGAATAGAGAACAAAGTCTAATTGGGTCTTTTGCGAACGTGGGGAGGTGGGGTTCGGCCCAAGATCTAATTGGGTCTTATCAAATCAAACATTTTTAATACCAAGTCCAAGTTTAGACTCGGTGGTTTTCTCAATTACATAATATTTTAATAACAACATATGAAATAAAGCTTATGTTAGATTGATACGGAGATTTAGCAATTCTACTCGAATTTGAATTCAGAAAAAATTAAGGTTTTTTTTTCTAAATATAATCAGTGGTAAAGTTATAAATAAACAATTAAAATATTAAAAATAAAAATACATTATCGCATAAAATATTTGAATTTAACTCATTTCACAAATTCAATAATTTTCTAATCGAGTTTCAATAATTTTCAAATCAAAAGAGCTTATCAGTGCACATTTGTACCCCCTACGGATCAATCCTAACTTATGGAGTCAAGCTCACGGGCTTGAGGGAGTGACATGATCTTAGACAGTGGTGGGCAGTTTTCGTTGGTAGGCTTAAATTCCGTCACCGCCCAAAGTTTTAACATCTCGGCAATTTCATGGTTCTGTGCCTCAGCCCAAGCAGCCATGGTCGTAATTTTGTTCCGGGGCTTCCAAATACCCCATAAAAATTTTTTTTATATAGTTTTTTTTTTTTTAAATAACCACATAGCAAAAACTAATTTTAACTTTTAATAAATAATAAAATCCTCTCGATAAGTTAGATACCCCAAAATCACTTTTATAAATCTTAAAAATGAATTATCAAGATTTATATTATGTTTTCAGTAATTTATTTTTGAGAAAAAAATATAATTATCAAAAATTAATTTTCAAAAATTATATATTTTTTGTGAAATAGATTTTCAAAAGTCATCTTATATTTTTAAAAATTCTTTTTTAAAAATATTTAAATTTTTGTTTAAATATATTTTTAATTATAACTATTGATAACGTTAAATTTTAAATTAAATTAAATTAATATATTTAATTTTAAAATAAATAATTCTAAAATAAATAAATTTGATATGTTAAGATTTTCAAACGTCTTTAATAATTTTTTTTTATGTATGGCTTAATTTCAACAATAAAAATATCTAATTTTTAGGCTATCAGTATTTCGATGACTAAAAGATACTGCTAGTAAAAAAATTAAAAATTTTTATTATTAAATTTATCAATCTACTAATGATATTGTCAGAATTAATATTTTATAAGGTGTTCAAACTCGGATTAGCATACATGCACATATGAGTTATCAATATATTTATTTTTGCTTAATCATATATGAGAATGGAAGAAATATGTTAGTTCTCAAACATACATAAGTATAAAATTGTTTTTGTTTTAAGATAAAAAATTAAAAATATTTTTTTATCCATGCAAAATCAAAAAATTAAAAAAAAATGATATTCTTTGTTTTATGAAAACTTAAGAGAAGGAACAAGTTTATGTATGAGAACATAAATTTTAGTTTTATTCATTTATATGATCAAGTAAAAAAGGGTTTATAAGTGTATGAATTCATAAATGAAGTCAAATATGTATGATTAATGATTCAAAATAAAGTCAATTTTCTCAAAAATAGGTATCCAAAACTTTTTTTAAGTTTCTCGTAAATGAATATTTAAAAAATTTTAAAATTCTTGAAATATTTATTTTCGAAAAGTATCGAAATTTTTTAAATATTTATTTAAGAAAAGCATAATTAAAAAAAATTAAAAAAGGTAAAAATAAAAAATAAAAAGAGAAAGATGAAATGTATTTAATAAAATAAAAAATTGAATTTTGACAAAACCTTGTATTTAGAAATGGGATTAATAGAATAATAAATAAAATGTAAATAGAATTCCTTTGTTCCCATTTCACACTCATCATTACTACTAAAATAAATGATTTACAACCCACCGGAAAAATTATAACATTCAAAATCGAATCAAAAACCTATTAAATAAATCGGTGTCGAGCATGAAGTAGCAGATGTGGGATTTGACATTTGCCGACAACTACATCAAATTGGTCTCTAAATCTATCAAAATTGACCAAATCTGTCTTCATTTCGTTTCCAATTAGCCAGAAAAGTGACTCTCGGATAAAGAGATGGCAGTAAACCAGGCGGCGGCATTGAAGGTGGGTTTGGGTTTATTAGGTCTGTGTTTGTTCGGCTACATAGTGGGTCCACCTTTGTACTGGCATTTCATGGAGGGCTTAGCAGCCGTTAGCCACAATTCCAACACTTGCCCACCTTGCCTTTGCGATTGCTCTTCCCAGCCTCTTCTCACAATCCCCGAAGGTATTTCCAGATCTGGGCTAGATCTCATCTCCTCTGCTTTTATTTTCTTTTTTTTTTTTCTTTCATTTGTATATCTTGGATTTGATCAATTTGCCAAACTCAAAGCTACGTTATATTACTAAACTTTACAGCTTGCTCGATCTGAAATTATACTTTATTTTGTTGTTACAAGTACTTTATGTGTGTCCTGTTCATGCGACATTTATGGACAATTGGAGAATGGAGATCCTGTGATTTGATCAATTAAGGGAATGTACAATTAGTTACTGCCAAATGTTGATTTGCACTGGATGAGTTTGACAATTATATGATAATCCAATATTCCCTCCCAATCTACGTAACATTTGTGAAATTCTCCGTGGAATTTGCCCTAAAGATATGATCTTTTTATTTAACACATTTATAAATGTTGCTTCTGTTATTTCTTGGTAGTGTTGTAGCTTAGCGTTGAAAGTTGAAAATTTTGCCTTTCTTGGCGTGCTGTTCTTCATTTTTTCCCTATAACGTTTTGTATTAGCATTCCATGCACTACTTGCCCTGCGAGGATCCAAGTTTCCTTTTTTCTAGGAAAAAATACAATTGGGTTATTTGTCTAAGTTATATGATATTTGATATTTTGTTCCCCTTTCTCCCCTTTTTTTATCGGTCCTTTATGGTAATTGTTTGATTCTGTCTTTAATTCATGCAGGACTGAGCAATGCTTCATTTGCAGGTTAGTTTTCAGTTCTGTATCATGGATATGTTTATTGGAATATGGAACTAAGTAACTTAATTCAAAGAAAATATTGGTGATTTTTGGTTACACATGAGCATAAGCATGTAATTTATAGTGCTGTCCGGAGTTAGCTTTTCTTCCCATATCTGCCTTTCTAACTGGCATGTATTAATAGTGATCAAGGGGAAGAGAGAGATGCATTAGGTTAAGCTTTCCTTTTCCTTGTCTTTCACCACATGAATAAGAGAAAAAGTGGAATAGTTTGTTAGGAAAATTAGAGACAGATATCACTGGGTTCTACACTTGTTTCTTTGAATGTTATGTCTTTTAGATCACCTCTAACTTCTCTGCTCACATGAAGAACTCAACATGATTCCCCAACCAACCACCCTGTCCCTTTTTTTTTTTCCTTTGATATGATATATTGCAAATGTAACTATGTTCTATATGATTGATTCCCGGTGCTGCTACATAACAATGTCATAACCAAGTTACGTTTCTAAGATTGATTGCAAATGAAAAATATTGTAAAAATTAAACTTTGTTACTGAAACATCAAGTAGTAACTCTGGCAGAAATTGACAAACACAGTCCTGCTTTCTGCTTTCTTCTTTTACCTTCTTATGTTGTCTCAAGAAGATTAAAGTTCAGTACAGTATGACAGTAGGGTGCTTTGACATGTGTTACTTTCTGAAATAAAATTTTGAGAACCTTAAGCAATGAGGTGGTGCAAGGCACTAAGGTGAGACTATGTACTTTACAAATGACAGTTCAAGAATTTTTAAGCCGGCATAACAAGAATTTTTAAGCCGGCATAAAGAGTGCTTTGATGGTAATCTTGGAGTAAGATTTTGCTTGGCATGGTACTGCCATTTTGACTCTTATCTTACTTTTTAACATGCTTCAATTGAAATTACTTGATAATTGATGTTGTGGTAATATGTAATCTAAGGTAATTTGAACACAGATGTACTATTAAATATAAACCCTCTCCTATTGCATTGACAAAACCACTACCTTCCTCGAAAGATTTGTACGAATTGGGGAGTAAACGAATTTATTCCAGGGTGATATTAGTCATTTGCGTTTTATGTTTTATGCGGTCGGCATATTGAAGGTTGAATTTAAATATTCCGCAGATTGCACGAAGCATGATCCAGAGGTGAGTGAGGATACTGAAAAGAACTTTGCTGAACTTTTGACAGAAGAACTGAAGCTTAGAGAAGCTGAAGCTTTGGAAAGTCAGAAACGTGCGGACATGGCACTACTTGAGGCCAAGAAGATAGCGTCGCAGTATCAAAAGGAAGCAGACAAGTGCAATTCAGGTATGGAAACATGTGAAGAGGCAAGGGAGAAAGCTGAAGCAGCACTGGCGGCTCAGAAGAAGTTGACTGCAATGTGGGAATTAAGAGCTCGTCAAAAAGGGTGGAGAGAAGGGGTTGCCAAATCTCATACACAGTCACAGGGTAATATCCAGGCTGTCTAAATGATCTACCGTGGCCTTATAGAAAATTATTAGAAATTGTTTTTCTTTTTCACTCAGTACTGTTCATGTTGATTATTAACTTATTGCATCTTACCGCAAAGCGGGCCATACAGTCGTGGATTCCAGAGTTAATCCTGCAGGATTTATGAATTTCAGTCATAAAACGACATGAGAATGCAATGAAAGTCACTTTTACCACTGTGGCAAATACATCCGAAATCAATAACACAAGCGTCGAGCAAAGTGACGTTGAATAACAAATCTTGAATTAATACCTTTGATTCTAATTTATTTGAAGAAGATATGAACTTTGGTCCGCACCAAATCTACTAGACTCCTATGTAACTAAATTTATCATCACTATGCCTTTTCAACGGCTGTGATTTTACCAGAATTCCCACTAATCGAATCATACCTTTGAAAAATGTGAGCTACAATTAATGAAGCTGACTGAGTCACATAATCCTTAGCTGCACATTGCTTATTCGACTCGCTGGGCGACCCGGTCTGTGGCCCATTCGACCAGAACAAGTAACTCAGCAATTCTTTCCCATTTCCCACGAACCGATCTGGTTTGAAACTCTCCGGTTCATCAAAAACATTACCATCCCTCATAGCCAAAGGCTGATACCCACACAATAACTCACCTTTTTTTATGTTAAAAATCGAGTCATGGGAAGTGAGCTGAAAATCCTTCCTCGCTCGTGCATATTGAAGCGTAACAGGCGGGTTCAAACGCAATGTTTCATAAACAACTGAGTTTACCAGCTCCATGTCTTTCACCGAGTCAAAACTCAACCTCGTTGATGATGACTGAGATGTTTTTCTCACTTCTTCTCTTAACCTGGCTTGTAACCCACTTTTATCACTGGCTATAGTGGCGAGTAATGTCGGTAAAAAAATGGAGAAACCACCAAAGGCATTGAACCCAAGAACAAAGATCATGTTATGGATGGCATCGGATGTGGAAAGGCCGAACTCTTCTTCACCACGCTGTACAACTTCTTTACCGTGCTGTTCAACGAATTTATAGAATTTTCGGTAGCCTCCACTGACGAGGGCAAAAGGGTAAGTGTAAGAGTGAAGAAATATCTCTTCCAGTGGCTGAATGACTCGGAGGGGGATGGTGGGGAGGAGTTGGAGGCCGAGCCATACGTTGAGGGTGAAGGGACCGGAATTGGCAACGTCAGGGTCAAAGGCAGGGTCGGCGCCAACGAGGGACTTGGTGAGGAAGTTGAAGATGAAGTTTTGGAGGTGGGAGATGTAGGATGAGCTGCCGTCTTTGGAGATTTCGGATTCAATGGTATCCCAGAATTTGTCGAGGTTGCCTAGCAGTTCTGTCACCCACACCTTGGAGCTCCGCTTGAGGATGTCTATGGCAAAGTTCTTGAGCTGTTGAAAGATATCAAAGAACGACATTGCAATCTGAGTAACATATTCTAACTCCTTAGTGAAAAATTTTAAATTAAAATAAAGTTTTTTTTGCAAAGAAGATCGGACTACGTAAACCAACGAACTAATTTTTGAGTTAAAAAAATAAAAGCTTGTACTAACCGTCAACTCCATCCCAAAATATATTTTCCTTTGAATGTTTTGCATAACAATTGTCAATTTAGGAGGCATTTGGTTGAAAATTTTTTAAATTTTAAAAAATTTTGAAATGGTTATAATTGTATTATTTGAATAATGATTTTTTTTAAATCTTAAATATTAGGATTTGATAAAAGTAAAAAATATAATTAATAAATAATGATATTAAAGACAAAAAAGTAAAATACTAAAAATATATATGTAATATGGGTATTATAAGATATGTAAAAATATGTAGATATTTTTAATAATATAAAATTTAAAAAATAAATTTTATAATAACCTTTTATAATTAAAATTGAACAAAATAAAAATTACGTAAAAAAACATAATAAATGTTGACCTTTTACAACGAATTTTACAAATTTTAACTCTTTACGTGAAATTCGAAAAAGAAAATTGAGTCTTTCAAAATTTTTCATTCAAATGTCAAAAAATCTTGATAACTTTAATTTTAATTTTCCAAACAATTTTATTTTAAAATTTTAAAAATTTCTTTACAAATAAAATTTTTTTTAAAAATCTCTCGTCCAAATAAACCCTTAAAGTTTTAATTATAACAAACTTTTCAACATATATAGTAACATTAAATGATGTATTATAAATAATAGAATGTTTTGACATTTTTTATGCCATTTATTTTTTCTTAAACAGCTACATTAATTTAATATTCTATTAATCTATATAGCATATATCAAGTTTCAAATTCATAAAACATTTTGAATAGTTTTCATTTATATTAAATTGATTAGGATAATACCCAAATAAATTTTGTAATTTTATTCACAAATAGCAAAGTCTTTCAATATTTAATTATATGAAATTAAAATTATAACTTTTATTTTATTGTAATTAAAATGTTAACAATACAACATATTTCAATTTTGGTGAAATCTTTTTGGTACATTGATGTAATTCATCTCTAAAATTGTTTACTTCAATTTATTTGGATGAGCAAGATTAAGACAATACTATTTTAATAATTTTAATAATTGAACGTTATTAATCAATTTTAAAGTTTTACAGTTATAATTACAATAATACAAAAGTTTATAACTTCAATTTCATACAATAACAAATAAAAAAAATTTTCTTTATAATTCGAAAGTTTATTTGTATATTATTCATTGATTATTTCAATTAGTACACACCTACAAAATAAAATTCGATACATTGTTTAAGGTGCTATAAATATTGTATGAGATTTGAAACTTATATGCCCTATAATTATTAGATTATCTTGAATTTATGAGAATTTTTAGAATAATTTCAATTATTTTTATTTTTATTTTATTTTTAACATGCGAAATTATTTAATTTCACAAAAAAGTTTGTCAATGTTATGTGGTTATTTAATAATAAATAATCTTTTTTTAAAAAAATATAAACACCTCTTCAACTTTTAAATTTGATTATAAAATTAAAAATTGAATGGGATAATTGGTTATGACAATGGGTTGAAGTAGATTTTTACTCGTTCCAAATCTTATATTACTTTATAAAATTTTATAAAATAAATATTCGAATCTAATTTAATATTAAAATATTATTTTTATATTTGATTCAATTCGATTTGCATATACATAAAATAGCAAACAATCTAACTTAATTCGAAATTAATTTAATAATTTTAATATAATATTTATTAAATATTTTTTAATATAAATTATATCTTAATTATATATAAATATAATATTTTTATTAAATTAATATATTAAATTAAAATATTATATAATAATTTTATTAATATAATATATATAAATACAAAATTAAATAAATAATAAAAGTATATATATATATATTAAATCGAACAACGACAAATTTACTTAAAATTCAACTTTAACTTAAATTTTGATTTAAAAAATAATTAATTTTATTAAATTAAATCGGGTCGCAACCTTCGGTATATTATTGCCAATCTTAGTGATGATGTATTGATTAATAGTGTACCAACTTTATAATAAATTAATCAAACACGACATGATGGGGAGACCGACCGCTGCATCTGAACGTATGCCATGTGGTTGGCCAGCCATGGCTCAAGATGAAGATGCTGAAATCCTCAACCTATTATTAAGGAGTATAATCGAGTTGAGTCGAATCAATACAATAAAAAATTTGAATTTGAGTTCGACTTTTAACTTACGGTTTGATATTTAATTCGAATTCGATCGAATTTTATTTTTTTAGCTCGAATTCGATTCGTGATCGAATTCGAACTCGTTCGATTAAACTCGAAAATATATAAAAATAAACTCTATTTTTACACTCAACAAAAACTCGATTATTTATATTCGAGTTCGAGCTCAAATTCGATATATTTTATTAATTAAAATAATAAAAAAATTTTAAATATAAAAGCTCGATTAAGCTCGTGAATTATTCGAGTTAAATATAAGAATACTCAAACTCAATTCAATCGATGAGTCAAACTACTCGAGCTCGAACTCGACTCGATAATAATTAAACCGAATTCAAATTTTATTCGAATCGAACTCAAATAACTTATAAATATTAATGTATCATTTTTACCCTTACCTATAAATACCCACCGACACCTGTTTCAATCCTTTCCTAACAGTCATATAGCACTGCCTACGTTCACACAGTTCCCTTTCTTTCAATCTCATAATAATAACAATAATAATTTACCTTCACCAAAACTTGTTCACTCCTTTAATTGTTCATCCTTCAATGACGCGTGTACATTGCCTAACTAATCAGTATCTATATTATTGTTAAGTGCTAACTTACTGCCTTTGAGGGTTGTGTACAGGACCACCATCTCCTTCAATTATATTTTACCATTTATCTCTTTTTATTTAGTCACTCTTTATTTAGAAATGATAACTGATGATCTTGGATTTAGTTTGATTATTTTAATTAACATATAATATTATAATTTTTTAAAAATAAATTTTAATTCGAACTGACTTTTTTTAATTAAATTGATTTAAATCAAATTTACTGATTTGATTTGATTAATTAATTTTTTGAAAATTATTTTAATGTAAATTTAAATAAATTTAAGTATAAAATAACTATTTTATTTTTATAAAAATTAAATTTTATATAAAAAATATAGATCAATTTGATTCAAATATTTTTAATTTTTTCATTTCATAATCTGAAAAACTAATTCAAACAAAATTGAAATACTTAATATCTCATCCGAATCAAATAGAAAAAATCAAAATTGATAAATACAATTTATTTATCAATTTTTAATTTTTTTGATTTTTTTCTTCAATCCTACTTGTAATTTACAAAAACAAATTATATTGGGCTTGGGATCCTATTGCAGTTTTACCAAATACTCCATAATTTTGTTTTTATTTTCTCCTAATTAATTTCATTATTTATATTTGACGTATTGTGACCATATAATAAGTTTTTAATAGTATCAATAAATCAATATTCCAGATAAATTGTTGTTTCATTACTTAGTTGAAAGTTCATTTTACAACTATGCATGTAATATACACACTATAGTCACCCTGTTGTATACAAAACCATATGCATATTACATAGTATTTTTTTTTTCCTTATATTACATAATGTTGCTGGTAGAACTTTACAAAATATTGTCATATGATGATTTACTATACAAGTAGCATTTCATTTTTCCTTTTTCTATTTCCCTTTAAACTTTTTTCTTCACAATTTTCTAAGATCCAAACAGGATAATGGAGAATCTATCCTGATCTAGTGTTTCATGGCCAAGAAAGGAAAGGGCCAACTATAAATATGTGGTCCCTTAACCTATAATTTAATAATTCAGCTATCTTAGCCTTTTTCTAGCTGTTTGCTTGTTAAATACAAAGGTCTGAAGAAGTTAGAACCATCCAAACTCCCAACTTTTTTAGTGAGATTGAAACTGGCTCTTTCTTACTTTTTTTTTTTAATTATTAAGTAAATATATTTAACAGAATCAAAGCCTTATCATAGATCTAACTGTGAAATAGAAATCACTTAGTTCTTAACCGATTATTACAACTATTTTCCAGTTTCCACTCTATAGTTTCACAAAATTTTTCAATGTCTCAGGAACATGATCTTATTCTTACCTCACACCAACGCAACAATCAGAAAAAGGGGAAGGAAATGGAAAAAGGGACAAAAAGGACCCTGAATCCTGAAAGTATTGTATAATCACACTAGATCAGTTTTCAACCAAGTTTTAATTAGTCAATCTAGGCCTTGGCAATAGGCATGCTTAGATGATTGAAACATATTGTAAGGAAAGAAAAGGCGTGCATACCTGGGCATGTTTAGGCTCAGAGGTATCAAGATAAGCACAAACCCTGGTATCTCCAGTGAACTTGACGCTGGGCATGAAGTCCCCAATCAAAACATCTTTTTTCTCCACAATTTCCATGTCGAAAAGATGACTAAAAGACTTGCAGTCAACAATAGCTACGACGTTGGGGTTCACCTGCCGAAAGAAAGGGAAACTTGGGGGAACATTAGTACGGAAAACGGTGCTCTTGTGCTTCTCCATTCTTGACCTGAAGAATGTGTCCGGTCCTTGGAACCAGAAGTAGTCTAGACGGTCGGATATTGGTCCTACCAAAGGCCAGCCGTGGGATCCTGGGATTGTACGGAATGGGAGGTTGGTTGGTGGCTTTGATGATGGTGCTGACAGTGATTGAGTTGCCAATGGTGAATAAGAAGAAGAAGATGACGACGACGGTGATGATGGGGACATGCTCATCATTCTGCTCATCATCATGGTCGCCATGTTCATGGAGCTCTAACTAAAGTGTGAAACTTTGTCTCTGTTCTCTTCCTTCCTCCTCTATTTTGCCTCCGGAAAAAATTTTTTTTTTTTAAAGAGGGAAAAGGGCTGCAATTACACAACAAGTATAGATTGCATACTCATGATGCATTCATTACCAGGGAAAAGTTGGAAAAGAGTAAGAAAAGGTTTTGTTTGGATAATAGGAAAACTGAGAGAGAAAAAAAAAGTCTTGGGTCATGTGATATTGATTTTCATTATGTATTAATTGTATATATTGATTGATTTTATAGTAAACGTGTGAATCCCCTTTGGACAGTGTTTATATCTTACTCCTTGATGCTGATATTTATTATATTCATGGGAATAGGATGCATACTTATATTTTCTCATCAAAAGCATGTGTCTAATTATATTAGCTTCGAAAAAATAGATATTAAAAAAAAAAAAAAGAAAGCATGTGTTTTATTCTAAAAAAAATTACTTTACTGTGTATTAATCCAACTACCATTTTCAAGTTTTCATTTAGTGTGATAAAATTCTCTTGATTATGGAAGAAAATTTTGAAATAAATATAGGTTTTAAATCTAAGATAAAAAGAAAATATTTGCTTTATTTTAAATTTAGTATTTTAATTTCTGTTGTGTAAGTCTTCTCAAACTCTCCAATTAAGCTTTTTTTTAATATAAATAAAATCTTAAATTTGATTTTTTCAATTTAAAAAAAAAAATTCAAATTTAATATCCATGACCCAGAAAAATATCAGGACCTTACATCCAAAAGACAAAACAAAACAGAACATCACGCACTCGTACACCAAACGTGTCGACACCATAAGCATTACAAAACAACTCAGCACAAAATCGTTATTATCAATTTACCTAAGAAAAATCATAAAAATATGTTTATATATTGCAAGAGATTAACTGTTAATGTATATATATATTTTTTGACATTTTTCATTCTTAAAAAAAAACTCAGCAATCTCAAAAAAAATTTTTTTTTTTCCTAGCGTTTAAGTAGGAGCCAAGGTTTGAAAGTTGGCCCCGGGGATCCAAACCCTTAAGAGGGAAACACGAGCTGCTGTACCGGAACTCTTTATTTTCAAAATACATACATAAAATAAAACATTTGGTTCGTTTAATTATTAATAATAATTTTAAAATTTTAATTTAATGATTAAAAATATTTAAAAAGACATCAAAAATTTAGTTTTGAATCAAATTTTTTTTATTTATATTAAAATTTTATCCACATGATGTAATAAAAAATTATTAATAATAAATGAAGATTTAAAATATTAAAGTTTTTTTTATTTGAGGATATTAAAACGGATCTGTTAATAAAATGGTTAGATACTCATAACATTTGACCAAATAAACCTCATATATTGCTTCTCCTACCTTTTTTAATTTTTTATTTAAAAATAGACTTTGCATAATAAATTTTTTATTATTCAATAATTCCTGTTAAAGAAATAATTGCAGACTTTCAAGCATTTATCTTATCCAATCATAAAGTAGACTGGCCGCTACTCTCCGACGCAAAAATAATTGTGCACAATTCCCTTTCCGGTGACTTAATATTAACAATTCAATCTTTAATAAATTTAAATATAAAAAACAAACATAAAAATTTAATTATTTTTTACATAACCAGGTTGAAGATTAATAAAATGCTTTCAAACTGCCGTCCAGATGAGATGGAGTGCACGAATGATGAATAATTGTCTAACAAGACAACTTCTGTTCATATTTCGTTTAAATAATCATATTTTTTTAATTCTTAGTTTATTTTTAAATTTTTTATCCATGTAAGATAAGAATATATCCATAATATATTATATCCATAATTTCTTTTAAATTCATAAATTTTAATTATCAATTTTAATAATATTAGAGGCAGGTCTTTTCGCCTATTATGATGTGCCCAGAGTATTTCGTATATTTGTGTTAATATGATACATTCAGTGCTACGTCAGTTTGATTACGTCATTATTATCCTTCGTTAATCCTTTATCTCTCACTTATAAATACAAACATCTAGGCATTGTTAAGGCATGTTCTCCCTAATCCTAATTCCCTATCTTTCTCTCATTTTGACTATTTTTTTGATTTGGATGTCAAAGTACAAATATAAGGAACACTCTCTATTTTTTCCTCTAACCTCTTTTTTCCTCTATCCTTTCAAGAACACCCTCATGTTGGAGCTTGACACAAATATTTAACATGCCAGGTAAGGGTTTTACCATTTATTAGTCGAGCATGAAACAATGCTACCTATGAAAAGAACTTTGGAGGAATGAGAGACAGCATCTCCAGTTGAAACAAAAACACACCATAGCTAGCATTTGGGTTGACCTACCCCATAACGCTCTGGTCTAACCATGAAGCAGTTCCAGGCCTTGATCAAGCAGATACAAACCCTTAAACAAATGTTGCAATCATAACCCCACCACAAGTTTAAAAAATGTCAAATTTAGTTATGCCAAGCCAATAAGCTATGAAAAAACAGTCAAGTTATGAAGAAATGTAGGTTTTATCAGCCTCAAAAGAAGAATAGCATAACACCTCAGCTTGTCATTACCTTAGCCATAACATGACGCACACTACAACCTAAAAATCCAAACAAACAAATTGTCGAGGCACAGTTGAACAAAAACTTTGAAGTTCAGATGCAAGCTATGGAGAAAAAGTTAAAGGCAAAAGCAATGGCTTTCAAGGACGAGCTTAAATTTTTAAAAATATCACCTTTACCGAATAGATTGATAGAGCCATTACTTAAAAAATGTTTAAAATGTTGATCTTAGAAACTTACAATGATACTTCTAACCCTTTTATCATATAAAACTTTATAAGACTAACATGATTATTCAAGGCGCGGACAAAGCTTTGATGTGTAAGGGCCTCGCTACCTCTCTTAAGAGCACAGCTCGATCATGGTGTAGCATTCTAGAACCGAGATCAATCACAATATTTAAAAAACTCAACCACTCTTTCTTGTTCTGATTTGTAAGTAGTCAAAAAATGAAAAAGACAACCTTAACTTAATGTCAATCTACTAAGGTCGCAATGAATCTCTAAAGAGTTATGTTGCACATTTTAACATGAAAAGCTCTATAAGTAAAAAAAACTAGAACAAACAGTCACTGTAGCTGCCCTAACAAGTGGACTAAATGACAAAAGTACCACCTGAAATTGACCTTGTCATTAGAGCCACCTAAGACTCTGGGCGACATCCTACTTGTAGCTGAAAAATATATAAATGTCGAAGCTACAATAAGAAACAACCAGGTTAAAAAGGCTTATCCCCTTTCTTTGACGGTCAAGGTGAGAGAAGTTCGTTTCCTTTCCTTGGTCATAAAAAAAGTAAGAATTTTTACGATTATCCCTTAAAAGAGAGATGTCATAGAGCTAAAAGCCTTAGTAAAGAAAGAAATTATACAGTACTAAATATCTCCTAAGAGAAAATTTTGATGCAAATTAAAATGAACCCAAAACTTAGATGGTCAAAACCACTAAGACAAAACACAAAAAAAGATCCGACCAAAAGATACACATTTCATAAAGACATAGGCCAGAATACTAAGAAATGTGTCGACCTAAAAAATGAGATTTAAACTTTGATTAGGAAAGGTCAACTAAGAAAGTTTGTGGAATAACGAATACAAGGGCAAGCCAGATCAGGATATAAACCAAATTGAAGAGAACTTGTTAGGGATAAGAAAGATATGCCAAAAAATTTTAAAAAAGTACAAAAAGATGAGCCAATCACTAGAGTGATTAATGTAATTATTGGTGGAAGTTCAACCTCGACCAAAAAAAAATTCAACCTAGGAATAATCATGGCCATGGGTTATTCAACAAAAAAAAAAAAAAACTAGCTAGATTACTTCATAAAATGGCTCAAAGCTAAGGCCATGATCACTACAACAAAAGCCCAAGTTAAGAAATTTGTGTGAAAGAACATAGTTTGTAGAGTCGACCTACCTAATCTATAATAATGGATGATAGCAAACAATTTGAAAACTCAAAGTTTAAGGAATGATGTTCAAACTTTTACACCTGAGATTCACGTCGGTCACCCATCTTTAATCCAATTGACAAGCCGAAACCGCAAACAAGACAATATTAGAAGCCTTGAAAAGAGATTGGATGAAATGAAAATGAAATAAGCCAACGAACTTCCCAAGCACTATGGGCCAAGGACAACCACTAAGGTACCAACATGAGAAATCCCATTCCACCTAGTATTTAGAACGAAATAACCAAATTAAAGTTAGAAAAAAAAATAAGGAAGCTCTGAAGGTCGACTAATACCTCGTTAAAAAATAAAAAGATGTAGCTCTAACACAAATAATAGCTTATCAATAGAAGATATCCAATTATTATAATAAAAAGGTCTGACGTAAGAATATCTCGAAAGGTAACCTAGTACTTAAGAAGGTTGAAGCCTCATGAGTTGATGACTGAAGTGACAAATTAGCTCCGACCTGAGAAGGATCATATATAATCAAAGAGATCGTCCGTGACGTGACTTACAAGCTGCAAAACATGAACGACAACACCATTCCAAGGACATGGAATGTGAATAACTTAAAGGTGTATTATCAATAGCTCAGCTACGTCGACCTCACACTTATAACCCAAAAATCAATGAAGTTGTAATGATTATGTTCACTTTACAAAGCCCATGTTTACTCTTCGCTCTAACCGACCTAACAAAATTTGACCTGAAACTTTACATGGATTCTCGAGTTAATTTATCCCCCAATACTTAAGTGAATTTTTAGATCACTTTAATCAAACTTAAAGTTTGGATTATTTCCAGTCAAATCAAATACAATTTAATTCATTTTGGACAGTTCAAGGCAAATTCATAAAACTTATGTCACAACGGCCTTGACAACAGTTAACCGAGCTTAAACTTTTTCAAGTAAAGAAAAAATAACGCTAAACTTATCATTGATAAAAATTAAACTTCCTTCTAGTAAATATATTTCATTTTAAGTCCGTACAAAAAATTATCTTTGATAGAAGTTTCAGTGGAGTGATTCCTATCTAAGGTCACAACAAAAAACTGACAACATACGTCAATAATTCTAAACAAAAATTTATAAAAAGTTCAAAAAAAAAAGCTGTTAATCAACAACATCAACAGCAATAGCAGTAGTGGCACCCTTATCATCAGAAGCAGCAATAACAACCTTAGCCTGAGTTTTCCCAGCCTTGTCCACCTTGGTTTTGGCCCCTAAAATGATCTCAAGCTTAGCATCTAGTGCCCCATCTCCATCATCTTCCCCTTCCTCTTCCCCGAACTGATTCCAAGGAGGTCTCTATTTGATATTATTGATATCGATATTAGAAAAGTCAAGGTTAAGATCGACAAATTTAAATTACACCTTGTCTTTGGCCAACTCGAAGGCAGCAAGCATGTTATCCATAGGGAACTTTATTTGAAGCTCGTGGAATTCATTAGAGGCCTTGAAGTCCTCAATGGCATTTTTTTCAACTTTTTTTTCACCCCAGCTTCTAGCTCATACCTCAACCTAGTTATCTCAACTTGAATGTCACTAAATTTCAGCTCAACCTACTCTTTCATTGACTATACTGATGTTTTAATGTGGACGATCTCCAGTTTGGTTGTCAACTAATTTATTCTCTACTTTACTCAGCTTTTTTCTCGTGGGACGCATTGAAGCTGGACCTAACATTACCTAAAACATCCAAGCATTTTTTGTACTCTTAACTTAGGGTAGTTACATCCTTCTCAGCCTTAAACAAGTGAACCATAGCAAGGTAGGCTTGATGGAGAGCTTGGTTGGTGTTATCAAGGGACTGAGATGAGAGTTTTTGATGAACTGCATAAGACAAGCTCTAACTTAAGCAAAAATGAAATCGAAGAACAATGAAAAAGCTAAATTAAAGTTAAGCAATGCTCATCGAGATAAGGGACTATGACCTTGCAAAATCTCCTTACCATGTCGAGACTTTTTGTGAAATCATCAGTTGGGGTGTACTCCAACCTCATGCAGATTTTTTTTAAGCTAGGCCTTAACACCCTTGACTCGGGATTCTCTAAGGTAAAAGAGAAGACCTTGACCCTTAGCTTATTAACAAAAAGAGGTACTACCTCTTGATAAGTTATTGGCTTTATCTTTTGACCAATGGGAAAGTACTGGGCTAAAGTGCTCAATGATCTACCCAATGCAGGGTTGATCTTATTTTTTTCACGAGAAGAGGCCTTAAGCTAAATCTTCTTACTATAAGCCCTTTTGGGCTATGGTTCGTGCTAAAATAGAAAGAAATTGATATCTTTATTGATAGATATCTCTGTAAAACTAAGCTAAAAGTTAGATAAAAATTAGGTTAAAACAAAATCCTACGAGATTATCTCACACCTATCTTAATACTTTATCTCATTTATTACTTCGAGAGAGGTCAACTCGCAAGCATCTATGACGAGTTTTCTCTTATGGGTGTACTCTATTATTTTATCTCGATCTGATAAGTACAAGACGAAGAGAGCTACTGACACATCTACAAAAATATCAGGCTCATTTATTATCTCTCAAGCTTCGACTTTGGTCTTACCATCCTTATTTATTTTTTGTTTCTAAAGGCAAAAGAATGCAGCTTTTAATTTTTAATAGAGCTTAGACAACCAACAAATAGTTTTTTACTGGGTCGAGCTGTTAGGTAATACCACCTCTTATCACTAAAGTGTCTTTTAATGAAAAAAATTATCTAAATAGAGAGAGATTGGAAAGAATATCTAAGTGTTGACAATGAATGATAAAACTTACTATATGCCATATAAAGTTAGGAATGAGTTAAATGATAGTTAAATTATAAAAATTAAAAATTAAAACAAATAAAGAATGAAGTGGAAACCATAGACTAGCCACAAATTAATCCTAATATACATAGAGCCTATGTGGCTCCAGTTTATCAATGACTCAATTTGAAGAGTTTGACATTAATATACTATACCCTTCTTTGGGAAAATAAAAAGTCGTCATCAGAGCACAGACGTGATGAGCTGAACATATATTAAGACAATCCTCGAAATTAACCCTATCCTTTAGTTCCCTCATCACATCATTGGGATCATACCAAGATCACAAGGAATATATACAAGAACCTCGACCAACTCATCATGCCTCAAATGATTCCTCTTCTCGTCATCACTTTCCCCTACCGAGGTACCCACTTCCTCTTATTCCTCTTCGAAACCCTTTTTATCATTAGAATCTTCATCGCCAAAAGACTCTGACTCCTAAGCAAGAGTAAAATTCCAAAATGGAACAGTGGTTGAGAACAACATGACTTTAGGGAAAAAAGACGAGGTGGAAACCCATAAAAAAAAGTAATTTCAACGAAAGTTAACTAAAAAGGAATGAAAGTGACAATATGAGCATTTATGGGTAAGAGAACAGAAGTAGAAGAAAATTAATGAGATTGGACCCCAGAACGGAAAACAACCGAAAATAAGAAAATGTTGGCCATAAAAAAAAGATCGACCTAAGAAACGAAAAAAATAGGTGGATTCTCTAATTCGAAACCTATCTAAGCACATAGCTCCTTCATACTCAGGATCTGTTCTTTTCTTGCCAGAACATTATCATCATTTCATTGTTGCCATTCCTTAGACATTAGGTTGAACCAGTAGGCCATCCTTTGACAATTACGACTTTCGATGACTAACAAAATTAGGTCATTGTCATCCTCTTTAAGCTGACCACCCTTAGGTTCTACCTTAAAACTCCCAGCCTCCTCAGAACTAAAAGTAAAAGATATAATGAAAGGTATGCACCAAAAAAAAAAAAAGAAGATAACATATGAAAAGAAGAACTATAAGGCTGAAAAGCTTTTGAGGTCATAAAATTTAAGTCAGATTGAAAGCAATAAAGCAAAAAGGTAAAAAATGAAAACCCTAAAAGCTCTTTATATAGTCACGTCTCAAATCAGATGAATGGCCTAAATTATGCCATGTGTCAAAATGTAGATGGGAAGACATCTTTTTGTCTTCCCCATTTTAGATTTTTTCACTCAAGCTATCTCTCTCCTCATTTAATACCATCAAACTAGCCAGACCAGATAACTCCCCAAGTCAAATAGGTTAGATAGGATAGCTCCCCAAGATAGGTCGGGCAAATTCCACAACCTGAACTAACTTGACGAATTGATATCCAATTCATCACCAGAATTCAAAATGAAGACTTAAATCCAAACTTTTAAAAAAACGTTTAAGTCCTACGTCGACCAAACAAACTCCCATCCTAATCCCAAATCACCTCGGACAAAGGACATGTCAGCCACCTTCGAGCTAGCTATGCACTCAACTCAAAACATACACGTAAGATCAAACCCCTACCAGGTCAGTTACCCTAAATATCGACTTTTACATCGATGTCAACTATGAGAGATCTGATTTCACGTCGTCTCCCTTCACTCAACCGACTTATACAAAATAGATCAAATACATACCTTATAATTTGACATTCAAACTGCTTGACAGGAGGACAAAATGTTGGAAACATTTAATGGTAAAAAGAGTATGTTGATCTTTTTCCCTATTAAAGACCCTTAGCATATAACCAAGGATATTTCACACATTTTTATTGATCTGACATGTCAAGTCAACTTGACAAGCTCAATGTCATGTCATTATCGTCCTCCATTGGTCTCATGCCTCTCATCTATAAATACAGACCTCTAGGCATTGTTAAGGTAAGTTCTCCCTAATCTTAATTCCTTATCTTTCTTTTCTTCTATTTTTTTTTTAACTTGTGCGTCATAATACAAATGTAAGAAACATTTTTAGTTTTACCTTTAATTGCATTTCTCTTCTGTCCTTCCCAAAACACTCTCACATCAAAACTTGACACAAACAAATAACATACCAATTAATTCAAAGATTATCGCTAAATAATCGTATACTTCTATTGCTAAAAGGTCCCTCTCTAATAAATTTGGTAAGTATAAATTAAATCTATCCCATTCCATGAGTTTAGAGTATTCCCTTCGCAATCTTCATTCTCCACCACTCCCTTGTAGATAAAATAAATATCTCACATGTTCCCTAAACCTTACGCAAGACGTGACAAAAAAACATCGCTAATTGCTCACATGGGAAATATCATCCGACACTTTCAATTTTTTAACACAAAAAACTCTTTCCAATCTTTAATACTGTCTTATGTTTTTCAAACAAATTTAATTTTAATAATTATTTTTTGAAAGATCATATTTTATTAAAATTATAAAAAAATATTTTTTAAAAATTTTGAAATTCAAATTTTACAAACATCATTTTTAAAAATTTTCCAATTTCATGATTTTATTAAAAATAATTATCAGAAAAATGAAAATGAAATAGTAGGCCAAAACTTAAAATAATTACTTGTATCAAATAAAATTTTATCACTGGGATTGAGATTGTTAGTTTACAAGTTACATATATATGCAAAAGCAAACAAGTTTCTGTCCTCTTATTACTGGTGTCAATGTTTTTTTTTTTTTTTTTTATAAAGGAAACTGCAATATGAAAATAGAAAATAATTACAAATATTAAAATTTGAATCTCAAATTTATTAAATACTACGTATAAAATATAGCTACATAAACTAATTGGATTAAGATTTGAATTAGATGTCAATGTTATTTACTATTTATAGACTAGGCACAAAATTATCATATTTGATTGTCCCTATAAAACTTAAAATAGAAACAAACAAGCTGCAAGTCAGGAACCCAGTAATCCCTAAATCTCAGATATGAGCCACTTATCAATTATCATGACCTTTCCATTTGTTTACCCATGATGAAAATATCTGAATCAGCATTGATGACAATCCCAAGTAGTGGCATTTTAACAAAACTGTAAGATGTCGGTGAACAATATATGGAGGAAGACATTTTCTGATATTCATAATCTAATTAAAAGATTTAGAAGTAACATTAATCCAATTCTGTTGTGTAAAATGTGCACCAGGGATCAGAAACAATAATGCTTTCCACAAAAATGACAAAGTTCAGAAAGCACCCGGGCTTTATGACGTACAGAGCACCAATTTCTCAAGTTTTGAGTTAAGTGTTTTAGCAACCTACTTAGATGTAAGAACAAGATCAGGCTTACAAGACTTCCAGTTGCTCGGCACCTCAGTTGTTGCCGAGCTAACAGGTTAACAAACATTTTTACAAGCAGTATGAGGTGAGGGATGATATAAATCACTTCACCTGTGCTGTGCTTATCTGTTGTGAGGAAGTTGAATACCAAGATCATCCATGTTGGGACAACCACGGATGCTCAGTCCATGCTCATTGGCCAAATGTAGCAGGCATATGAAACACAGATGAGGAGAGATTTCCTCGATTGTTGCAGCAGCTTTGCAATCAATAGGAAAGCTAGCCAAGAGATGCTTGAATGATATCATCTCTTCAGGGGCCTTTAGAAAAGGAAAATGTTCGAAGTTAGAATTCACAACTTCATTAAGAATAAAATGAACACAGCCAAAAAAAGTATACTTTTGTTCCAAATTGGATGTCTTGGTTCTTGCTTTGGGACACTACAACATAATGTTCTCTTTCCCTTTATTCAATTCAACATAATGAATTGAAAAACGAAGTTCTTATCGATGAAGGTTTGGAAATGAGCTCTCTTTTGATTATAGATAGGAAATAGAGCTACTAAAAGTATGTTATTTATCAAAATCTTCATATACGATACACTTAATCAAAGCATCCATGATAAACAATTAATTGCCTCCAAAACATCAAAGTTAAGATTAACATTCAGTAAGAGAAATCAAACTTCTAGGGAATCAAATCAAGTTCTCATTTCATTGTCCTGCTTCATTATCTATGTTTAGCTTTCTGATATACTCTCTTCTATATATTACAAACATGAGTTTCACTGCTTAAGTTTTCCTGTATTTCAACTGCTGATGGTGGAAAAAGCAAAGATGCATTTGAGTGCCTCCATATGCAGGCAAAGCATATTCGAGCAGATTTTACCCCACTTACTATGTGAGCAAATAATGATAATAAGATGAATCCTCTGTGATGAAAAGAACGTTATGAAAAGCAAAAGAAAATTGGTATACCTGAAATGATGTTTCTGGAGATTGTTGTATACGGTCCCAAAGAGTTTCTTTCAAAGTTTGAACATCAACTTGTTTAGATGTCTTATCATATTGAACTTCAATTTTACTAACCTGAAAATGAGATAAAAAGAAATGAAAACTAGAAAGGAAATAGCATGTAACTACATATTTAAGATATGAGATGAATCTTGAATTACAAACAACCCATCCCAGGGCCTATTATCTAAATCAGTAATTGAGGTTGTAATTTACTAAAAATCCAAAATACAGTCCCTATAACTCCTTGTTTCACTCAGTGGGCACCATCTAGGGCTAGCACGGAGAAATGCCAGAAATAAAGGCTAAAAAAAAAACCTGACGAGGTTGCGTAACAAGTGTGCTGGAGTCATCCACATCGCTATGATCAATTTCATTGTCAAAACCACCAAATCCACTTTGCTCTTCCCAGGATGGCTGTGGATCATAATCATCACACTGCTCCCTTGATTCATCTGAAAATTAAGTAAAATGTGAAGATAAAAACTATACCATCGTACATCAGTAAATGTCCTGCATTTTATCATCAATAGAAACATTGAAAACAAGAACTAATCTACGGGGAAAAAAAAACAATTAAGATGAACATTTCAAAAAAAGCAAGGAAAAAGTTCCAAGTATGTATTTGTAAGCCAAGAAGAAAAAGTTTCCATAACAAATCATAATCAAATTATATATTTAAAGTATTTAATATGAGTAAACACTTACATTATATCCCCAAAGCTAAATAACAAGTAAAACAAACTTTTAACTCTAACTCATTAGGAGAACTGACATTTATAAAATGAAAATTAACAAAGCAATATGCAAGAAAGCAAGAACAAGTCCTCATACATACTGATATGACTCAAAAAAAGCCAAAAAAAAAACAAAAAACAAAATGTTCTTGCTAATCATGTAAGATTATTCCAGGCTAATAAGTAAAGGTTTCATTGATACCTTTATGCTCAAAGTTAATAGGAGAGATAAGGGTGAAAAAGGTTTCATTTTATCTAGGTTAATGACCCCATCTAACCCGATTGGGCAGGATTCAGTGCAAGATAAAACGAAGGAGAGTGCTTTTACTTCATTTGGTTAGATGGAAAGCAGAGAGTACGAGATAACTTGAAACTGTACCAGTATATGTTTTATTTTATTAGAGGAAATGTTTATTTTAGTTGGAAAAGTTAGGAGTACAACAGGAAATATGGGCAACTTGTCTTAGATGAACTAGAAAACAGGGCTTTCAAGGGATCGATCTCTCCCTTGAAGCCTTGAAAATCTTCCAAACAAAGATGAGAGCAGCTTACCTCTTATCCTTTCCTCTTCTCTCCCCATAGCTAATAATTGAAAACAAAAGCATGAATACCTCATGATATGAGAATACCAATTCAAGAAGCAAATAGTATAATATGACACAAACTACATAGCTAGTACTAGTAACATGGAATAGATAGACTAGAATGATTGGCAGTTCACAGACATTCAAGACAAGTACTACTATTTGAGAAGTATCTATGAGAGAAGAAAGATTACCTGAAAACTTTCTTCTCCTTCTTCTACCAAGGCACTGCAAAAGAACATGCATCTTACGAAAACAAAGCCAAATAGGGAGAAAAACACTTCAACAAGTCATATTTTAGTAGCAAACTTGGTGGCACATATTACCATCACATTGGGTAAAAGAAACAATTTGACAAGATCCTCAGGTTGATAGTGACAATCTTCAGGAAGCTTTGTGTTACAAGGAGCTCTATTTGAAGGCAGAAGTAATGACTTTGGATTTTTGGGAGGAGCAAAGATGTCTGGCATTTCATCATCAAAGGCTTTTGTGAAATCAATATCAGGCTCAGCTTGTTTCTTATTTCTAGCTTTCTTTGCCGTTAACGCTGCTGTATTTTCTTCATTAGATACATCCTCAGAACCTATGATACTCAACACTTGAAATCATGTCAATGAACTGCTAAAGGAAAAAAAAAATTGTTGATCAAATGTAGCACCTGTCAATGGCCCCATGGCACGCACCTTTAGTTTTTCGATATTTCCAATGATCAGGACCTGCCCAAGCATTTTGTTTCAAAGAAAATCCCAAGCTCAGAAACAAATATTCATCAACTTCTTTAAATTTGTTGTCCCCATCAGGATTGTTGAAAGAAAATTGCTCAGTATCCTGTGGAATTCAATTATGATTTATGAATAATGAGCATATATTTTTGTTCTTAACCTCTTCAAACAATTAAGAGAAGGAAACATGTTAAACCTCATTATAACTCATAAAAGTTGGCTCTGCCCCATTATATTCTTCATCAACAATGCTTGGTTGGTCATCATGATCAAAACCATCAGTTTCAAAACTCTCAAATGCATCACCATCAAACTCTATTTCATTATTTATAGTGTCAGCTTGGTCCGTTGACCTCTGGCTGCAGGAAAAGTTCTCCAGTGGCCTTCTGTTATCTTCATCGAATTGATTGACTATAATCTTGAGGGTCGGTGAAATCTCATCCTTTGCTCGCATGTTCAAAACCATATGCTCAAGGTATTCTGTAAATATATCAAAGAACGACAGTAATCAAAAACCCAAGTTTCTCAGATAAACATGTCTAAAACAGGGAAAACCAAAACCAAACCTCCAGCAAAAGACAGATCTATTGTTTCTGATATATCGTGTTGATTTGCAGAAGGCATTTCCTTCCCTGGCACTTCGAATGAATCAAAGAGAACCCGACATCCAGCATAAACACCAAGATTATTCAACAACAGACCCTTGGCTCCACCTTCATCAAATTGCGCAGATGTTTGATGATAGAGAGGATCCACTGCAAATGCAACTGAAAACAAAAAGAGGGCATCATAATCAAAGCTTGTAGCTCACACAGGAATCAAGATTGTTGGTATGTGTGATTACCATCAAATTTCTTTACATTAAGAGCCTCAAAAGAAGATTCCAATGTTGATAAAGGGGACATCTGCATATATAGACGTTTATTAATATGTAGTTTGGATTAGAAATTTCTTTAAATTTAAAGACCATACCACAAACCTTTTTCTCTGTCTCTTTCTTTGGATTCCCTTCCTGTGCAGTATCAACATTGGCATTCTCCACCACAGAATCTAGCATTATAACATAATATCACATTAGCTAAAAATCTGGCAGGATAAAGCTGAGCAAGTCAACAGATAAGAAAATTCTAGAATTTTGTGGTTGGCTTGAAGTTCAATCTTATGTAATGATTAAATAACTTAGCATCATTGTGTTAAACCTAAAGGAATGAGACAGAGGGAAAATCACAAACCATGAAGTAAATGTATGTTTTGGATTGCATATGTGGATTGATTGTGTCTATCTTTCTACATATGCAGTCCACATATTTATAGAACACATTGTTAGGTTCAAAGAGTTGATTGACAATGCCTAGTAAATACTGTAAAATCTTTAACATTAGCATGCCTTTAGTACAGCCTCTTGCATTTCATTCTATGCAGTAGTGCAGATTATGCTCTTAGCCATAGTTTGTTCCTTTATTTAACACATTGTTAGGTTCAAAGAGTTGATTGACAATACCCAGTAAATACTGTAAAATCTTTAACATTGGCATGCCTTTAGTACAGCCTCTTGCATTTCATTCTAAGCAGTAGTGCAGATTATGCTCTTAGCCATAGTTTGTTCCTTTATTTAACAATTTTTCAAAATCAAGAAGCTAAACTGAAGAAAAGCAAATGCCACAAAGAGCTCACATTGATAAATGACAAATCAGACTATAAACTGAGATAGAGAGAAATAAGCTAGGTACCACCATAAAAGAAACCTAACCTTGCTCATTTTCTTGACCTGCTCTGTTTATCCCACCAAGAACCTTGTATGCCTCTGAGTGAACCGAATCCACCCTCATTGAGTAAATTTTAACACCAGCTTCCAAAGTGCAACTAGCCTGTAAGAAGTAAAATGTAACTCATTCATTAAACATGAAGAAAACAGTGATAATATTATCAATTATCAATCCACAATTTGTTTGGCATTTTTTCTCCAAACATTTCTAAAAATTTTTACTTTCACAGCTATAACCACTGGCTTCAGCTCATCATCTGCACGAAAGTTACTCATAGTCTGACATGTGTTCCCTTGAAAATGCAGATGCACTGATCCAGAACAACATCATTCAAGTAACCTCTTGTGTCAGTCTAAGTATCAATTTAGTCACTGGAATTTAAAATTGCGATAACATTAGTAACCAAAAACATGCAACATTCTTCACTCTAAACTACCCATTATAGCTTCAACTTTTTCATATGAATTTTATTTTTTTGGTCAATTATATGAATTTTATTTGAATTATATTTCTGGGTCGTTTAAATAGCTTTTTGTTCAATTTTCCACCAAATTAAACATAAAAAAAAAAAAATGCTAAACATACCTTTTGAAAGTTCGTCTCCACATCATTTTCTTCTTCAACCTTGATAATCTCCCGAAGATGGTCTATTAAATTCAGCTCCCAAGTATTCTTTTGATTAATTTTCTGCACCCAAAAAAGAAAAAAAAATACAGTTAAATGCAGATAAAATGATATTAAAACAATTCAACCACCAAAGCTCCACTGCTATCACTTACAATTTTCTTAATTTAAAAAAATCACACAAATGCACTTAAATATATAAAGAAAAACCCTCCTCTTCGTATAATATAAATAATTGAGGGAGAGAAAGAGGAATTAGAGACATTTTCACTGGCCAATTTGATGCAATTTTGGAACAGCTCGAGAATCTGGTCTTTAGCGAGGCAGGGATCGGGATCAGTAGGCGGCTGAGCATGGGGAGCCACGGACTTGCGGCGGATGGCGGCAGCTCGAGCGGCTCGAGCCTGGGCACGTTCGAGTTTGTCGTCGTTAGAGCCCAAGAAGAAGGGGCTTGTTGGGGATTGGATGCGAGAGACCATAGGGATCCTTGGCCTAGGGTTAGGGCTTAGGGCTTCGGCCATTGGTTAGGGGTTTAGTCTTTCTTCTTTTAACGGGTTGATGGAGCCTGGTTCAGTCAGAGCCTGTGTATTTCAGTATTTGAAATGAAGGGGAAAAAAAAAAAAGAAAAGAAAAGAGATTGGTTTTCTTTCGTTATAAAAAATAATAAAAATGGTTTCTTCTTTTCTTTTCCCTCCAATTTGTGCTTTGAATTGAATCTGGATGATGAGTGACAGGCAATTTTACCGTGTGGCTCTCCGTAGCGTACAGGGTGAGAGATCAATGTATCAAGACCGTTTGTTTATTTTACTTTCAGCTCTAAGCACATCCCCCATTGACCCTCCAATTTTCTTGACAAAAAAATGACTCCATTTCGATTTTGATTTTACCATTTGACAATTGACAATGGGTAGTGTAGTTTTTAAATTTTAGGTTAAAATATAAGCAACTAGCAAAATTACTTTTTAAACTTTTAACGAAATATCATATTGACTTTTCCTACACAAAAAATCATTTATTAATTTTCTACTTCAATGTTGTAATGAAATTATCCTTTGTCGCTAATTATGTTGACTCCATTGGTAACATGTGTTTATACAAATTGGAAGCTTCTAGATACATCATAATTTTTTTTTATATATTTTAAAATTAAAAAAAAAACACACATAACAAATATCAATTTTAACTTTTAATAAATGACAAAAATACTCTCAATAGCTTAGATATCCCAAAAATAAATTTTCAAGAGTTATATTATGTCTATTTCTGATAATTATATTATATTTTTTGAAATAAATTTTGAAAGTCATATTATATTTTTGAAAATCTATTTTCAAAAATATATATTTAATTATAAACTCATGATAATTTTTAATTTTAATTTAAATAAAATAAATATATTTAATATCAAAATAAATAATACTAAAATAAATAAATCTAATGTACTAAGATCTCTAAAAGTCTTTAATGGTTTCTCTGAAATATGGCTTAATTCCAACAATAAAGACCTCTAATATTGGTGGTTAAAAAATTAAAAATCTTTATTGTTAAATTTATCAATCTGCTTATAACAGTTGTCAAGGTCAATATTTTGTAGGATATTCGAGCTTGGATTAGTATACATGCATACAAATGAGTCATCGATATGATAATTCTTACTTTATCATATATACGAATGGAATAAAAATATTAGTTTTCAAGTATGCATAGGCATAAAGTTGTTATTATCTTAGACTAGAAAACAAATAACACTTTTTTATTCATGCAAAACTAGAAAATGATGTTCTTGATTTTTTGAAATCTTAAAATAAATAACAAGTTTGTACCATACATGCTTGAAAACTTCGATTTTAGTTCCGTTTGCACACATGATTAAGTAAATGGATTCATAAGTGTATGATTAAGATTTTCAATTATTAAAAGTGAAATCGTTCAAAAATAAATATTCAATAAGTTTTTAATCTTATCAAAAATGGATATAGAGAATTTTTAAAGTTTCTCAAATATCCATTTATGATAAGTTTGATTTCATAAAATGAGGAGAGAATAAGAGATAAGTGGTATGAATGAAAAATATAAAATGAGGGGTGGAATATATTTAGTAGAAATAAGAAATTGAGTTTTTAAATTAGAGTGTATTTGGAAGTGGGGTATATAAAATAATACATGGGGTGTAAATAAAATTTTCCTTGCTACTGGAAACGGAAAGAAATTAAGGCTCTATTTGCTTTATAAACAATAATTTTTGTATTTTTAGATATTTATTTGATAAAAAATTTATTGATCAATTAAAAATGATTTATTGATTAACAAAAAATAATATCATTTTTTTAGAAATTATCTTACAAATTAAAAAAAAAAGATATTTTTAAAAAAAGAACTGTTCATAAGTAAAATCATTTATCAATATTTTTTAATATAATTTTTTATAAATAATATTATATTAATAAATAGTATATTATATTAGTAAATAATATTATAATATATTATTAATAAATAATATACTATTAATATAATATATTAATAAATACTATAAAGAATAAAAAATAGTTTTATTTTATTTTTTATATTAACATAATATTTTAATATTAAATATGACTAAAATATAATTGTTTTTTAATATTAATAATTTTAATAATAAATAATTTCAAAATACTTTAATAACAAATAAATTTTAATATTTTAATAGTTATATTAATATTATTTTAAAAAAACAAAATTTTCAAAAAATAACCAAACAATGAAAAATATTTTTTATTAACTTATCTAAACAACTGAAAATCTCTTCAGAATAATAAACTAAAATCAGTTCGTCGTATTTATCCTCTGAGCAACTTTACAGGGTTTCAACAACAGAAACTTAAGATTGACAGCAGCTCTTTCTTCCATTCCTAGTTGAGACTGATGTATACTCCCATCCCATTACTGAGAAGGAAAAAGAATCAATGTTGTTTATGTAACATCCTAAACAGAGTTTCGCATCAGGACAGCTACTATAAATCCCAATAATGCACCTGCAACAACCTGCACCAAATGATATACATCAATTATTTATGCCCGTTGGTAAGATTGTTGAAATGCTTAAATGACTGATGTCTCCCAAGAAAAATAGGTCAATGCTACCCTCCTTCTCTTTTCCTTGGTAGAATGTATATATTAGCATTCCTAGTCCCACCTTATCTATGCAAAAGAAGGCTGATATTATCACTTATTAGACTCAATTGCACGGCAGATGTTCAACCTTCACTAAGTAAAATAATACTATTCGAGCAGGAAATAATCTCACAAACTATAAAGTGCTTCTCCTGGCTTACTAAGTGACAAGCCATCTCTTTAAAAGAGAAAATGGGGAACGAAATGATAGTGCTCCAGTGAAAGCCTTGTTGTTTTGCAACTGGTAATTGATAAGTGAGTTAGACATCTAGAATTTCACTTTTACATCCTTACAAAATATATAGAGAGGGTGCGGTTGCCAACAGATGTAAGACAGCAATCCAAAAAGATTAAATGATTTGGCAGTCTCAAGTAGCCGTTATGCTTTGAGATTTCAACTGTAGACTTTGAAGCCCTCAAGATATTTTTTTCTCCAATCTTTTGTTTTTAGAGTTAAATTATTATTTCAATATTTGAGTTTGCTGACTTCAGGGTGGAACATGATGTGATGTCAGTCTAACAAATTGATTGACATTTATAAAAGAATAGTCAACTACAGTGATATCTTGGGAAATAAATGCTTTTGGAAGAATTAACAAAGTAATAAGCATTGGAAGCAAGAAGCAATAGTCATTTTAACTACTTGTGTAGCGTAGAGAGTAGCAGACCTGAAGTGGAGTATGCCCAAGTAATTCGCGCAGAGGCCTCACACTAGACAATGGGTGTTCAGGAGGAAACTCACAGACAATTTGATTCAGCAACTGCCAATATGGAAAGAAAAAATATGAACATATACCAGGGCATCAGAATATAGGTGAATAAAAGGCAACTAACTTTGCATCTTTATATAAAGTACAATAGGGCTTACTTCAGCTTGACGACCAGCATGAAGTCGGACACCTGAGGCATCATACATTACCTGCATATATTGAAAAACCATCAACAAAACTCCACAGATTAATAAGCATGTAAAGTCTTGTTCATTGAAACTATTTTCAAGTTAAAAATAAAAGTTTGGCGAATAAAAAAAAGACGAGCATCAATGTCAATACAGTGCAAATATTTTGATAAGGATCCTGATTAGGTTCATCCATATTCAAGGAGAGCCAGAAATATGGCCACTTGGGTCTTCCAAACATAGAGCACATGAAGATTAAAGTACTTATCACTAACATTATATGCATAAAGCTAAATATCAGGTTTGACTTCATGCTTTCTATTCTCTGTTGGTAAACAAGTGGGTCTCCAGGTTGAACCTAACAAAATAGCCTATCTGATGTTCTAGTATACAATGTAGAGTATCTAAGCAGGAAGCAAACGCCTGAAGTACCAACAATAAATTCATCTAACAGAGCTATGGTCCAATCATGCCACATATAGAAAATTATCTCAATGTGTCCTCATAGATATAGATTAAGCAAATTTGTTAAAGAGCATACACTCTGCGCAACTAAGAACGATTCCAAGCATTATAAGCAGCTATTCCAAGCATTATGAGCAGCTAAAAAGAATTCCAAGCATTATAAGCAGCAACAAAAATAGCAAATTGGGATAAAGGCTCACTTCCCCACTTAACTTATAACTACTATTTAATATTGAGACTTCAATTTCCTTCAGTTAGCCACTGTACTTTAGTTTTTATCCAGTTTCATTCAAAAAATATTCAATGGAGCACTATTTTGTCAAATATTTACTTTCCAAATAAATAATGAACAGTCTCAACTTGATCTGGACAACAAAAACCAATCTCTTCACATCAGTATCACTCGAAGCAGTTCGAACAAACCAAACTAAAGTCTTTTGGAAACAAGATAGACAATAACAATCATCACAAATTCTAGCAAAAGAAATGCATGCCACACAGTGCATGAAAATTGAGTCAAGAGGATATGTATTGCAATTTATCAGAATGCACAATTGCCAAATTGCTAGGAGACCGTTGATTATGAAGAGAAGTTTAGTGAGCATTCTCTGGAAGAATGAGAAAAGACAATAGAGATCAGTATTGTTGCTGGACATGCTGGCAGCAATCTAAGCAGGTGGTTCAGGTCTATGGTCATGAAGAATATAAGAGGGAAAAGGAATGAGAGAGAAGAAAAGTAAAAGGAGGTATTGCCACTGGTCAGCAGGTGGCTAAATGTCTGCAGCATTCCCATGCCAACAAGAGCGAGAAGGTTCCACAGAGAAAGAGAGACTTCTGTCTCTGTCTCTCTTCATCATTTATTTTTCTTAATTAGATTAAATAAGGCATTATTTTGATTTAGTCATTTACAATTATTTATCATCATGACGTATCATCCATTTCTTTGTTTTCCTTAATTGACATTAGTGCAGACTAACAACTTAATAGAGATAACAGTTACATGTTTACGTGTTAATGCCTTCATTAATTTTTAAGCAGAATCACACAAAATTTGGAGTTCAGTGGGCTAATTGAGAAGAATTAAGTGATGAAAATTTCGGGTGTAAGTTTGGTGGCAAAATTGGCCATTATCCCTAGCAATTTCTAACTCAAATTTTGCAATAGTACAGAAGGTAAGTATTGAAAAACTGAAACTCATCAAGCTCAGGGCAAATTTTGGTATATGGAAAATCAAGGATATGCAAATCTAACACAGATTCTAAAATTAGATTAAAAGGATAAAAAACAAAACAAAAGAAACCAGGCAATAAATAGAAAGGTCATATTTGAGAATGTCACAACAAGGAAATGAAAGTTCAGGAAGCACATACAACACAAGCCAAGACAACTGCAATTGCAAAAGCTGGTCCTCCAGTCCCATCCTGTAGACCTACAGCAGCTGCAAGAGCTGTCACAGTTGCAGAGTGCGATGATGGCATACCACCTGAATCAATCATCTTCTTAGAATCCCATCTCCTTTCTTTAAACCTGAGTATCCAGGAGAAACAAGTTCAAATATTTGAGCTACTGTTCAAAAAGCATTGGACCTGTGATTAGAATCAACTGAAACTTGAAAACCTAATTAAACTACATACTTCGTCAAAAAGTAAATAAATAAACTTGCTATGCAAGTGAAAAAAAAAAATAATCCCAAAAAAAACCATGCATAAACAACAAACTTATAGCAAAACCTTGTGTTAAAGGGTTACAAAGAACAAACCTTTAATTTCCAGGACCAGGGATGGATTTGTACCTTTTACTTCCAAGGGCAGTATGGTATTCATACTTCCCATATTAGAATCCTCTCAGATGTCTTAGTTTGAGTGTAGTCCTATCTTATTTGATTTGGTTCAAGACCACTTTAAACTATTAGGAAGTCTTTCTCATATAAAGTTATTACAGTCATTATTATATTTCTTATGGTAGAGTTGTAAGATAACATCTGCATTGACCAAATTTTGCACAAACAATTCATCCAAGCTTTAGTGAATAAAGTTTCTTTGTTTTCTCTACATGGTGTGATCCCATGAAATTCATCTAGATGAAGTATTTTCTTGCCTCAAAAATTCAATTCAATCCCTTAATTGATTTTGACTCTAAAAACACCCAAAGACATCATATAACATATGCTTTCAATGAGTCCATTGCAGTTCAAGAGCCCAGTATCTTTATTTCACCAAATTTTAAGAATGATGATGATAGAAAGGAAAATGCCAAAATACTTTTAAGGCCTCCTTTAACATCAATAAGCATTTAATTTCAAGTTGCTCGCAATTTTTGAAGACAAATGGAGGCATTTCCTCCAGGCTAATCCTATCAAATCCACTTTTCTCTTTTTCCTTAAAAAAGGAAAGCAACAAAATAAAAAGGAAAAAAAAAGGAAAACCAATATGCTTTTTCACAAGGCAACCAGATAAGCACATCGGTAACCAGTAGGAGTCAAAACTTCAATCATCAAAATTGCGAGTTAAATCGAACCAATCACAGGAAAGTTTAAATACAAGTTTCCCCAACTAGGCTAAAGAAGTTCTTAGCAATCATTGTTCATTAAATTAACAAATATACCAACATTTCTATTTACATTTTCTCATGGTAAACAGTTATGTTTTTTTTAGCAGTTGCTAGTTAAAAGTGTTGAATCAAAGCCCTAACCAAATTCCATCCAAGATTCGACTCTACAACTTTCTCGTCAAACGACAACAACAACAAAATAACGATTCGAAAATTGCAAAAACGGAAATTTTAATTTAGTATTATTTAATTAAATGCCACAAGGAAACAAGCAAATGAGCAAAAAGAAAGTGAGATTAAGAAAGAACGAACCAATTGGTGAAGACTTTGAGGAACTGAGCGAGAGCGAAGGCAAGGAAGGCCGCGATGAGAGGAAGGTTGTTAGGAAGCAGATTCGACGACGGAGACGAAGCTTCGTGGCCTTTCGTTGAGCTCGCATCTACTGCCGTCATCACCTCGTCCATTTATTTACTTGGATCACTGAGGAAGTCCGCCTGATCTGCTTCGTCAAAGCCTTATTCAGCGAATAGCGGCAAAATGAGAAGAAAAGGAAGGGCCGACGGGAGGGAAACGCTGGGGTCCGCCAACGAGAATAGGCCCACTTCTGGGCTGGTAACTTTTGGAATTGTTTATTAATTATTAAGAGGCAAGGAAGGGGGGAGCCTGTGGATTGGTTGAGAAGGAAAGAAATAAAGAATTATTGGAATTTTTTTATTAGTACTACTATTCTAAGATGTGGGCAACTGCGAAGAATAATTATGCGGCAAGAAATTATAATATAATTAATAATAAATGCAACATTGACTGACCTTTTGGTTTTTTTTTTTTTTTTTAAATAATAATAATAATAACAAAGTTTGAAGCTGTCCACGATAGATATTCGAATAGGAGATTTATAGTTTGGATCAATCCGATTTAAAATATTAAATTTTTAATAAAAATATTTAGTATTTTAATATATTTCGTTGAAAATTTTAAAAGAATAATCAAGCTTGACAGGTTTAATGTAAAGTTAGTAGCAAAAGAAAAATCTAAACTCTAAATTTATTATTTCACTTTGATTAATAAATTAAATTTATTTTTTATTTTTAAATGAATATAATTTTATCATTAAATTTTTTTAATTTGATAAAAAATATTTTGACTTAATCAAATTAAAAAATATAATAATAAAATTGCACTTGTTTAAACATAAATGATAATTAAATTTGATGCATCGTATTAAATAAAATAATAAATTTAAAGAAAAAAGCCAACACTCTATTAAGATATTTCTTTGTTTACTTTCTAATTTTAAATATTTTTTATTTTAATAGTTCATGTAAATTAAAATTCAAATCACAACAAACATAAAATTAAAAAAATATTTATTTTAAATATGAATTCTACTTCATGATTGAATTAACCTTAAAATCTTCGCAACAAACTAATCTCACTGTTTATTAATTTCACAAGCGAATTAAAATGATGACACGTCTCACTTATATTTTTAATAATATATTAAGAGGCAAATGTTAACATTGTTATTAGAGTTAAAGAAAAAAAAAAAAACCTCTACCGTCAATAAATTTGATCATTCCTGTAAATATAGGTATACATTCTGTTTGATTATAATTATAATTTCTGCTAAAACAACTTCATCAAAAAAGAATCTGCCTGCTCTGTTTGATCACAGAGCCAAATTTTTGCATCAATGATCCCCAGGCTTACTGCTTACGTGAAGTTTTAGCTGAATCTGAATTAAAATAAGGTCAAATCGCTAATCAAAGTTTGATCTTCATCAAAACTCAACTATACTCAAGTAGCCAGCCAGCCACCAACACAAAGTACTTGGAAGTTCAAATCCATTATGGGGAGGGGGCAGATATACATTAAAAGTCTGAGGAATTACCTTTGAATTCAATAATTGAGTGATCCTGAAATCAAAACTATCTATGAAACCTCTACTCATTTACAATGTATAAGAATTTCTAAGATTTTCTGCAAGGGGCCGGAAGGGATAGGCAATTCAACCGCTTCAACCTCCTAAACACCACAATGCGAACCAACATCTTAGCCAATAAGCTTCTAAGGTTTTGAGCATTCATTGTTAACTTCAGGCAGAGAGAGTGATGATCTGCTATGTTTACTAGGCATTGGAGTGGCCCTTTTAGACGAGCGCTTTGTTGCAATGAGTGCAGGTTCTTGTTCCCACTCTTCCATAGCTATATCACTGTCACTATCATCTGCACTTTTGAAAACCGGGTGAATATATGCATTCTGAAGGAATCCTTTCAAGTTCAAGTTCACTTCCCTTGTGCGCTCTAATGTATCCTTCATCATTGCTTCCTGAAATCACGTATTAGTTAAAATTAAAATCCGGTTGTAATAGAATCTGTAGTAACCAGAAAGGTATATAAAAATACACAAAGCAGCAGAAGTACTTAAAGGAATAAAAAATGCAAGTGCACCAAGGATGTATCGAGATCTTGTATAAACCATTAAAAAATATTCAATGCTCCAAGATGAGATGACATATACAAAGACAGCAATAGAACTGCAACCCGAAAGTTCCAACTGTGGTTTCTTTTGTTGAATTACTTCTAATCAAATAAGATGAGTGTACGTACAACAGACCTGTAAAGGATATCTGATAAAAGCTGGTTCATATCGCCCTTTGCAGAATCTGTGGAACCATATGGTCAATACAGGAAGGGTGATAAGCAATGGAGTTGACTGAGCAGCTTCCTTTGTGCTCAATAATCCCATTAGTAGCAGCTGTGAGACTATTAATGCAGCAATGATACGTACATGAACATCAGGCCAGAATGCTGCAGCACTTTCATATTCCTGATTGTAGACATTAATGATCTACAAGTTCATTTAAGCATGTATTAGAGCAAGAATTTCAAAGAAAGATGAAAGAACGGGAAATATTGTGGAATAAGCATATTAATCAGGTGGAACTATTATTGAAAAGCGTAAATTCAGATGTTAGTTCTTACTTGATGACGGTATACCACATAAGCTAAGCCAAAGAATACTATTATAAAGGGAAGCAAGATAGGAGTCACCACAGCATAAACAAGACCAAGTAAGAAGTAAAGTTGTATTTGAGGTTCGCCAGTATTGAAACCAATGGTTCCAGGATCCATTGCCTCTTCCCGGTCCTTTTCAGTCTTAACCAAGAAGAAATTCTTTAAGTGATAGATTATCAAGGGTTTCAACCTCAGTATCTCCGCAGCAACACCAGCCCAACCATCAACCATTATATAAGTAATGAAGAATGTTGCCTTCATTGGAATTGAGACACCAATTGTCTTTGGTATCCTGCAAGTGGCCATGTAAGGTCATATAAGAGAAACACTTGAATGAGAACTTAATATCACTGATAAAACATACAAGTTAAGCAGAGGATGGTCCACGCAAGCAATGTAAAGGTTTTTGGACTATATGGTATAGAACGTAGTCTATGCTGTATTCAAGGTTCAAATTTTGAGCATCAAATTAAAGTTGATACCACCAAGTCTGTGTGAAACAAACCAAAAACTAAAGTACCGGAAACCAAGAAAGAACTTATCTATTTTCTAAAACTGGAAACATAAATGTCTTATGGTTAAAATATTTAGGTGCATGGCCTGAAAGATAAGGTACTATGAATGTCATCATCAGCAAAGAAACATATTGCACAAAGAAGGCCATGATAAAAATGCAGAAGGATCATGATGATGAATTCTCCTTTAACCCCTTTTACTGTTTCACTACATACTGGTTTTCCTTTTATATAAAAACAGAAAAGAGTTTCAGGACATCTTTTAACTTCAGCGCCCAACACTCAGTATGTGCTACATGAAATTCCTATGAGAGTGGCGAACGTAGGAACTAGAAGCCAATGGATGAGAAGAATGGCAGTAAAGAGCAATATTTAACTAGAGGAAATCTGGTTTTATTAGCAATGTTACCGCAGCTAAATTAGGATCCTAAACTCCTAAAGCCACCATGGACAAAATAGGCAAGATAAACAAATGACAACAACTAGTACTCTAGAGCAGAAGGCATATATGAGAACATACTGATTAGTGGACTGGTGAATAAAACTATTTAGTTGCTGAAATGCAGTTCCAGTAATTATGCTCCCAAGAAAAACATTAATAAATTGGAAGAAATAGTATCTACTTGCAGATCTCCTTTCCAGAGCCGATAGGCTAATAAATCCTTCAAACTTTGACATTATCATCAATATTGTGGGCAGAAATAAAAGAAATATCTTCAGAGCAATCCCAGGAAGAAAACCTTGAATTAATGACTTTATGAATTTCCTGCAGGAAATATGGATGTTGTTAGTTTATGCTGGCAATGAAAAGGAAAATACTTGCATAAGGGAAAGAAAGTTTTAGCAGATATAATAATTGTCCACCATAAATAAAAAACTTGGCCTAACAGCTAACAGTTGTTACCCTCCAATGGGGATGTCAAGGTCCTAGGTCCCTCTCCCCCTGAACTTCTTCAATTTTATCAAATAAAAACACAAGTTCCTACAGATAAAAAGATGATAAAGATTTCCTTTTTCTTCGATACAAGGCCAAAAACATCATAAAGAATATTACTATCAGGTATCAGTAGAGAAGAAGAGGAAGAAGAAAAAAGAAACTCACAGTTCAATTATATGTTTTAGGAAGGGAAGTGCCTTCTCAATGCTCTCTATGTTAGCAAGGGATTGTACTATTGCTATAGGAATCATGAAAAAGAATGTAAGGAAGAAAAATGAAACAGCAGCAATGAGCCTCCTTATTGCGAGAAAGACAAATGGAATTGCTAGGTTTTCCCAGTACACATCTCGTGGTTCTGGAGCCCACTCAGTCAACCACATAGTTGGGTTCCTAGACTGTTGAGTTTGTGCACAAACAGCAGCTCCCCATCGAGTTTTGAAGGAAACAAATGCTGCTGGCAAGATTGATTTAGAGTTGTTAGTAACCTTCTCTCTCTCGGCAGATATCTGACAGTCATTAAGGGAACAGAGATTAAGCACACATATAGATTACACTATTTGAATAAAAACAAATAGCTGATCAGTTAGAAGATTTAAGAGAGAAAAACCCAAAAAAACTTTCCAGATGGTAATTTCATGCAATAAAGTTGGATTTAGAAACAGAAACCAAATGGTTGGATATTTTTGATGCAAGCATGCAGTTTAAAACTACACATTACCATTTTTACAAGCTTTGGTGTTTGAAAGAATGAAACCATGCTTTCTGTTCTATAATTGTTATAAGCTTCTAGAACAACTAGGTAGTGAATTGGTCAAGTATTTGGGGTTTCAGATGAGTATTTGTGTTATGGACAGCTTACCAATTAATGGAGAAGGAAAACAGAAAATAATCAGAAAAGTGTGAGGAATACATATGCCAGCTTCAAATAAAAAAGAGGTTAGATTTGCATGTAAGAGTTTCTGGATGAAAAAAGAAAATGTTTGCAAAGAAACATGCAGTCAATAGAGATAATAAACAGCTGCTATCCAACTTCCTCCCCTGCCTTGGAAGGAAATCTGGGAAATTCTATGGAAAGGAAAGTTGATCTACTGAGACTTAGAAGTAAGCAACAAAATACAGGAAGCAAAAGAAATGCCACTTACATCTCTAGATAATCTCTCAACTTTGCACGTATAAAAATCGATTGCATCTACACTGTTCCCCCAAAGGCCAAGGAAACCAGTCTGCTTGATGGAAGAGATTCATCAAAAGATGTCAGGAATCAAAAATAGAAACTAGCATGATCTTGTTAGCTTTATTTAGAGTTGAATATCGAAAGATAAAACAAATACTCAAAAGAAAACAGAAAGGGTAAAAGAATATTTCTAGAAATGATATAACCACATTATTTGCAAAAAAAAAAAAAAAACCTTCACTGAGGGTCTCCTAGAGGGATTCCTTGCATATTTATTTTGATAGAAGTCAAGCCAATTCTGAATTTTATTCTTCTCATTGACTAATTCTGAAAGCTTGTTAGCGTTATAAACAACCTGCAAGCAGATAATTTCAAGAAAAAACCATAGAAAAATGTATTTTCAGCATTCAAAGGAGGTCAAATTAAGTTAAAAAATTCACATATAACAGCCTGATGTACTTCCAGTATTAAAAGGAGTTAAAACTAAGCTAGACATCCCCAACGATAGAAAAGGTAAAGTAGGATAATATAATTTTTATGTTGATGTATAATATCAAACCTGATGACTGAGATAGTGATCTGGATGGTTGACAAGAAAGAAATGTTCCACAAACTCACTAACTGATTCATCGCGATCAGGTGGGACATTTCTAACCAGTACCTTTACGAACAAAATGATGTCAGAAACAAGAATTGAACCAGTAGAAAAGAGATTAAGATGTTGGAACATAATTTAAATCTTCGCAAGCCAGCAAAACATAGAACTAAAACTATTATACTGTTTGACTGGCTTTTTCTTTTGAACTTTGGAAGCCAAAGGAGAAAACGAAATCAATAATAAATCTCAATAAATAGTAGAATTGTGCTTACTGTAAATTGGTCTGGGCGCTGTTGTTCTGATGCAAGGAAATATAATCTCATTGCTGCCACTATCTCATACTCTCTTTTCAGCATGTAGCATGTCCAAAAGGTAAAGGCATAAGCCATTACCAAATGTGTCCAAAATCTGCAAACAAAAAATTGTATTGAAAATATTGTAATTTATTATTAATATTATTGAGCAATATTAGAAAAAGCAAACTAGTTCACCAATTAAAGCCTCTCAGAAGTTCTACTGTGGAGTTTGGAAAAAGCCAAATTTGGTAATAGATTTGGGTTTTTCAGAAATGAGAGAGCAAAACTTTATGCACAACAGCCAAAAAAGGAAAAAGAAATGGCAATTCAAATTCATCATTCAGGAAATCTACACTCCAAAGCATTCAAATCACCTATCTGGAAAAAGGCGTTTAAACATCTGTACATGAAATATTGCTCCTTAGATATCTTATGTCTGAGAAATTGCCCTATGAGACCCAAAACATACAACTTAAGAAATTGCTCCAACTCTCAACTATGTCAGGTACGTGTAGAAGTTGTAAACTATGAATTGCTCCTAGTCTCAACTTTGACAGGTACTTGTAGAAGTTGTAAACTATGTCAAAGAGTTCTTTTAAAAGCAAAAGGGTAAAGATAAAGAAAGTTTGAAATGAGAAAGTTCTGCATACCTATGTGATGCAGTTGGAATATTTGATATAGAGAGCTTATCTATACCGCTGTATGTTAAACCAGAATGCTCCAGGGTATTATTAGTCCAATTAACTGGTACCATGATCGTAAATGCTATAATTGCAATAGGAACAAAAATTTTAAGCCTGCACTTCAATGGGGAGAAAAAGAAGAAAGGGAAAAAAAAACATGGCATTAGTCCAACATGATAAAAGTAATAAATTATGTCTTTGCATTGTAAATGGGATTAATATCACTTACAATCGCAGATTTAGAATCTCAACCATCCGTGACAGTATGATTGATGTGTGTTGTGGATGGTTGAGATTCGAATTTGTTAAATTCTCTTGGGGAAAAAAAACCAGACAAACTAGCAGTTAATAAGAACCCATGTGTGTGTATATATATATATATATATATATATATATATATATTAAAAAAAAAGGAAAAGGAAATGGTATGCCCTGCAGCAGATATAGATGCCACACCAATGACAGGACGATACTAAGCCGTTGAAACAACATGAAACCAGAAAAAAAGTACACAACATTCCTGAAGAATTACCCTACTCTAAGTTTGCACATTATGAATTTAATAAGCCAGTTTAAGAGTTGAGACCATTTCATTTACATAGTAAGAAAAGTAAGGTTCGTTCAAGCTTAATAAACTGAAAGAAGTTTTTCTGTTGATTGTGGATTTACACTTTTGCTAATATGATTTTAACTTTGACATAAATTGAAAACATGATCTATATACACACACACACACATGTGCACCAAAGATTACTGAATTCACCTTATCATGCAACTATATACCAAGAACCAAATAAAATTAAATAGAATTCTGATAATGTATCCCTCAACTGAACACCAAAAGATACCCAAAGAACAAATAAAACTGATAAATAAACCCTCTTGCCACTTTGTCAGCTCTCCAATATATTCTTTTAATCCTTAATCATTATTAGTGAATCTCAGTTCAGCTAAAATGAGACTAAGCTTTGTATGTTCCTAACTCATGCTTTGCATGCCTAAAGTTCAACTTAATAATTTTCATTTGCCTCTATGCTAGTTAATGCACCAAGTCGCCTAGATATTACTGCAGCTTCTGTGACAGTACAATTATTCAGCGCAACAAGCTCATTTAGACATGTGGAATGTAATGTTACAAATGAAAGTCACTTGGTGGTTTCACGTTTAAAATTGATTTGATTACAGATGTACCATCAACCCATTTTTTCTTTTTGAAATTGAGACATACTATAATTTGAATATTGTCATAGAATCTTTTCTTTTGTGTATTCTCACTACAACCAACTATACAGCTAGAAAGCACTGAACAACCAGAGCATACGTACCCCAACAAGTAAATCCTCAAGTAAACAGCAGAATCCAATCCGGCATGGTCAATCAGCTCAGGCTCCGGCATTTGGAGTGCGGCAGGCATCCAGCTCAGAAACCTGGCATATGACCTGAAGTCCAAATTCACGAACTTGCCTACGAATGCACCATTCACCAAAGGGCTGCTCCTTAAACCCTTGAGATACCATTTTGGGAAGTAAACCCTGTCATTCACAGGTTGAATCCGAAGAATTGCAAATGCCAAAAAGAAAGCAAAAGCACTGAGAATATTGATAGCTGCTGCAACTCCAATATCACTTATAGTAGCCATGTATTTACTTCAATTCAACAATCAACAACGCCTACTTTCCTGATAGTAGAAAGGAAGAAAGGGTAAAGTTTTAATCCATGCAATTAGCCAACAAGAAGCGAGAACTTCAAATTTTCACCAAGTATTTATTGTTTTTTAGTAAAAGGACAGACCTACTACCTCCATCATTAAAAGTATATAGTTTAAAGATTTAAAGAAAAAAAAAAAAAGTAAAAGTTTGGTACCCAAGCGAAAGCAAAAGAAAGCTACTTTTGACTTCTGTGCTTTGGGTTCTCTCTCTCTCTCTCTCTCTCTTTTTCTTTTTTTCAATAAAATCCTTTAAAGAAAACATTGAACAAAAAGCACATTTGCTATTAAGATTGAAACTCATTAAAGTAACAGCAACCACAATGAAATCTGAAATTCAAGAATTTTTATATGAACAATTAACATAGTAGCAAAAACAACTGAACAGACAATAAGATTTAAAGAGCTAAATTCAGCCCTTTTCAAAATTTTTTAATAACAACGATTATTAGAAGAAACAAACTCTCAATGTAAAGTGTTTTTTGCTCAGATTTTCTCGGCAACCAAACAAAAACTTTTCCAGTTCAATTATCCCTAACCTCCCAACTTCTTAACAAGGAAGCAAACACTAAAAGATCGAATTTGCTACCCTTATCGAAACCGAAAACGCAAGGTTCAAAGTCCAATGCAGTCCAACTCCTCGTCAGGAGCAGCCGAAACAGATCAGAAAAACTCAACTAAAAACACTTCTTCTTCAGCCTTTTTCTCTGCCTGAAGAAACGAGCGATAATGTGAATGGAAGAGGAGAGAAAATCCAGAGATTTTGTAATGTTGGGTCAAAAGCAAATCAAATCAAATCAAAGTGTAAGATTTAGTACTAGGATGGCACATTCCTTCTTTGTTTGTCTTCTAAAAGGCTAAATATCAAAAAATAAAAGGAAACTTAGGTGGCAAGAATTTATGTTTCTAATATCGACAAAGCCAGTTAAAAGAGAAATTATTTCGTGGAGCGTTGATTTTGGTAATAAAAGAGACGATAAAGGCTGTTGGTCGGTTCAATGTCGTGTGGGCGAAAGTGAAGAAAAGAGATCTCTAACGGCTACCCATCACCCCAAAAAAAGCAAAAAAAAAAAAACATGCACCTTTCGCTTCCCACATTCCATGGAAACAAAGTACTTAATTTTTTTACATAGAAATAAATTGATTTGGTCCATTTTTATTAGTATAAAAATTAATTAAGATTTAATTTAATTGATTCAATCTTCTTTAAATAAATAATATTTAATAAATTTAAATTTTAAACCTTGAATATTTATAATATTTTAATTTTTAATTTATTATTTTTTATATAAAAAATGTTAACATCGTTATATCATTATTCAGGATAAGGGTGTAATCGAACAGAGTCGAGTTGATAAAGTGAAAAGTTTGAACTCAACTTTCAACTCGCGGCTTGATATTTCGTTCGAACTCGATCGAATTTTATTTTCCTAGCTCGAACTCGATTAATGATCAAATTCAAGTTACTCGCACTTATTCGATTAAGTTCGATTAATATGTAAAAATAAACTTAATTTTTATACTCGATAATAACTCGATTATTTGTGCTTGAGTTCGAGCTCAAATTTTAGATATTTTATTAATTAAAATAATAAAAAATTTTAAATATAAAAATTCGATTAAACTCGCGAGCTACTCGAATCGGGTATAAGAATACTCAAACTCGATTTAATCAATGAGTCGAACTACTCGAGTTCAACTTAATAATAATCGAATCAAATTTGAATTTTATTCGAATTGAATTCAAATAGTTTACGAGTATTAATGTATCATTTACATTTTTAATTTAAGATATTTTTTTTTATTAATTTTATTTTACATAACGATAATTTTTTTAATAAAAAATAATTCATAACATACACGTGTTTCATTAACAAATAATTTTTAAAATTTTTAAAACTACATAATTTACGAATAAATGAGTTACGGATTTGGTTAAACGTGTCCAAACTTTTAATATACAAAACATTATATTGAATATTTTAATTACTAAAATGTTATCTGTTCTCAATGCTTACTAAAGCATAAGATAATAACAGTAATAATAATTTTTTTTCTCAAAGAAATTTGGGATTGGAGACACAGATAAACTGAAAACAATTTTGACTTTTCTCATAATTTATCCATGATCTAAATGCAAGGTTATGTCAATTTTTAATTATAATTATATAAATTATTTGAAGTAAATTTAATTTTATTAGGAAATTTTTTACTCTAAAAAATTGTGTATAATTGATCATCGTTGTGATTTTATGGAACTGTTACACAGATCCTCTTTACTGGATGACTTTAACGGTTAATTCAAGAATCAAAATGCGTTACGTTACGCTGTTAAAAATTGTACTAGTATTTATGAACCCTGATTTCTTTTTTATATATAAAAGGGAATATCATTAATAGCTAGAAAATATCAGAATAACCATACCGAATGGGTTCCAAACCTGATGGTCATCAAACTCACAATCTAATCTCGCCTGTTTTATAAGCGCGTTGTGGCGGGATAAACTTTTTTTTAAAAATTAAAAATATTTATATGTATTTTGTGTGTTTTAAATTTTTAATACATGCAAATCAAAATATTATTATGTTTTGTTATTGATGATAATTCAAGTAATAATAAAATTAAAGTTAAAATTATAATATATGAAATTATTTATTCATGAAATATACAGTTTATATCATAAATATATTTATAAATGTAATCGATATTTTTTATTTTTTATAATATTTATTTTATTAAACAACGTAAAGTATATTATTGTTCATGTTATCGAAAAATATGTTAATACTTGAATTTTTTTAAAATAAATTTTTTAACAAGTTGGGATCATGGATTCGGAGTCTGATCCCATTGAGCAAATTATGGTCTCATCCACTTCTTTTCATATGCTCTGGTTATAGAACAAATCATTTCCAACAAAAAATTAAAAAAAAAAAAGTAAAAATAAAATAGGAGAAAGTTCTTTTGCCCATGAACCAATGAATTTAATAATATCGTGAAAATTTTAAATTTTATGAATGAAAATAATTTTTCATTATATGTATATTATAAAAAAAAAATTATTTTAAAAAAATTCAAGTATTAACATATTTTTCGATAACATGAACAATAATATACTTTACGTTGTTTAAATAAAGGCCTTTCGCCCCCAACCGAAGGCAACTAAGCTACAAATCCGCCTTTCACAGGTCGACCATATCTTATACACTGTATTTGCAACTTGCTATCGAGTTTGTGCGATTATTTAGAGCTCGGATCACGGATAATTACATTCTATTTGATTAAAATAGACATTAAATTTGACAATTCATATATCATGTCAATATCCCATACATGAAACATACATATATTTTTTTTTTATTAAATTCATATATAGTTTTTGTCAAAATTTAAATCGTATCACTTTTATATATTTTTTTGTATCGTTTTCATAATATTTGATGTCTAAAATTACTGGATCTAACCTGAATCAAATGAAAAATATTACTTTAAAGATAAACTGATTTAAAAGGCAAAAGGGAAATGAATAATTTTATCCAAGTTTATCAACCCAAACTAGCATGTGAAACTACATAAAAGGAATACCATTAACATGATGAGTAACTTATAAATTGCCTTTCTCACAAGCACAAACAATGATGCCCCATAGTTCTTACAATAGATATAAATAATCACATCAGTTTCTTTGATTCATGCATATGTGAACAACTTTAGTGTTGATTTCTTTTTTTCTCTTTGAATCATAAACAATATAAGCCATGCAAAATAGTGCTGACTTTGGACTTTACTTGAATCGGGAAGTTGGACTGACATTAGTTCTTTTGGTGAACGGCAATTTGGTGGATGTCCATGTCTTTCAACATTACAGAACGTCCACAAGAATCACATGGAGCAGTCCTTGAGCCACAAAGGCTCTCATGTTCAGAAAGCCCTCTTAATCTGTCACGAACGTCCATGGCAGAGCTTCCAGCTTGAACCATGTCTCCACAAAACCGACACGTAATTAGACGCAGGGGACAATCTGAAGCTTGGTGTTGCACCTGTCCCAACATACTGAAAATTAATAAAGATATCTAGATCAACAAGAAAAGAAAGATGCAATCAAGGCTTCCACTTTCCAATCACCAACTTTTCAATTTCTCATTTTGATATCAGATTTAATGACAGACTCCAATCATTGTGGTCACTCCAGGAGCTAAACAAAAGATCATCATGTTCCTTTAACTAGCTTAGGTGATTTACACATCAAACATAAAATGTTGTGTTTTTAAAAAGACAAAACAAAATGTTGAACTGAGTTTAGAAATGCCACAGTGATGGCGTGCCAGCGATTTGAGGTTGTCTTTTATGAACACTTCCAACAATTTCAAACCTTAAATTTTGATTGATAATGTCTAAGACATGTCAACAGCACTGGCATCTCTAAATGTCTAATAATGTATTTACAACCTAAAAGAACACAAGAAACCCTAATTTACAATTAAGTATTCATACTCATTCCTAGTCATCCTCTGCTGGCTTAAAAGGGGGCTAGTGGATATGCCATCTGGAACTGGCACAGAATGACACACTTTAAGTAATGCATATGCAACATTATAATAGAACCAGAACACACACTTCAAGTAATGCACATGCAACATTCTAATAGAACCAGAACAATAGTTGTCAGATTCGCGAATTAGCTTATGTTCCACTTCTGAAATAAATTAACAAAAATTGGCAGTAATAATGCCCTAGTTAATTCAAATATAGTAAATTGAAATGAATTTTCTGTAGAAAGAAGTGTGGCCTACCATGTCTTCCTTCTCAAGGACAACTCCACAAGGACACCTAAGTGGTTCATGGAACACTTTCAGGTGCTTCTCCATCTCTCCCAGTTGAAAAGCTTGCCCACATTTGTCACAATGCACATGATTTTTGGCCTCTTCAATCCTTAGAACAATTCCGCAACCAACATGTGGACAAACAACATTATGTCTACTACAGTATGCTTCATGCAGTGCTATACTCCTACTGGGTATAAAATGCTTGCAGTTCCGGCACTCCACATTATCAACCTCCATCGCAGATGAATGCACAGCTTGTTGACCCACCTTATGCTTGCTGTTCTCTTGAACATGCACCGATACCTGGTACTTGGTTGTTCCTTTGAAGCCATAGACTGCAAGGCTATAAGTACCAGCACCCAAGTTCCCATCTTTGGAGCTGAGGATCAAAGTCTTTGAGCCAACATCATGGGAAGACCATTCATGTTGGTGCCAGTTTGGGAATATAAGGGGATGCTTGGATACATAAAGATCAGTATCTCCACCATTCGCCTCTGCATCTATCTTGACCTCTATTTTGGCATCGTCCAAAACAATTTTTTCCCATGTATTCTCATCAATTGAGAACTTATAATACAAGTAATTTCCTTCCTCAACCAATCCAGAGTCTGATGTACCAAACACAAGTGGTTTTAAGACGTATTGATCTGTCCTCTCTGATTCAACACCAGGGTTGACTATATCCACCTCAATATCTGTTTCCAAGACAGATATGCTTGAAGAGGGTTTTAGCTCAAGCACACGTAACCTGTACGTCAACTCCCCATATTTAACTGTGAGAATGTCATCTTGAGAAAGGGTAGCATGCTGACGAAGGCTTGTTTCAAGAATAGCCTTGTGATTGGGTAAGTCAGAAAAGCCAATTCCATCAGGTTGAAGTTTAGCATATGTTCCTTTTGAAAGTCGAACATAACGAACCTCAACCAAGGGAGACTTTGGAGTGTCCACAGGGAACAAATTACTCCATACATGGGGAGGAATTGCAACAGAACCTTCATCAGCAGTGAATTCCAAGACACCCGAATGAGTAGTCCTATTATTCTCCTTCTCACCACCCTTAATCGCTGAAGAACCCCCTTGATGAACCACCAACAACTGAAAGTACATCGGTCCCTTGTCAAATGCACCTTGATTAGACAATTCTGTGAAACATGATGGTGGCAACTTGATCTTATCTCCACTACCCTGAAAACGTACAGCTTCTAAGATCCTACAAAAAACTATTCCTCCTCCCGCAAGCAAACTTTCTACCATTTGTTGTTCAGCCTACAAAGGAAGAAAATGGTTAGAAATGCCCATTACTAAATAAAGCAAAAAATGTCATAATGCAACACATTCTGCTCATATGTAAACCATCTAAGCAAGCACTAGTCTTCTCTATACATACGTTGTGTGGAGTCTACCATGGTGAAATTATCATAAAAGTAAAGGTGCAGTCGTGCAGACCTCATACCTAGTCCGTGGTAGATTAAAATATCCAAACAGAATAGTTAACTAAGGGTCAGTTCAACGATTAGAACCTAAAACTTTGAAATTTGGGGTCTCCAGGTTAGAATCTTGGGAAAAGGGAGGTTAGGGTTTATGGAATCGACGACGATCAATTTCTGCCTAACAATGACCAAAAAAACAATTTCTGCTTTATCATAATTACAATCCTAAAAGAATTACTTATAAATTCAATAGAAGAGTCCATAATAAAATCAATAAATTGATTTTTAGAACTTTAAAGCAGGGATCGGGGACTAGTAGTACCTTGAGCTGAGCTTCAATGGCGTCAAGCCTTCTAGATCTCTGAGCAGCTTCAATGGCATCTCGCTGCTTCTTAGCCTCTTCTTTCGCTTTCCTCTCTTTCTCCAATTTCAACTTGGCCCTTTCCTTCCTCTCCCTCTGTTCTTTATCAAGCTTCTCTCTCGCTCTCCTTAGCTCAAAATCCATAACTCAAACAAATTCCTCTTTCAAAAGTTCGATCGAAAATTTCGAGATTGGTTTGGGTACGTGGTTTTATTTTTAGATTGTTTGAAATTTGCGATATTCGATTAATAAAAAGAGGTTCGCAGAGTTAGATTCGTGTTGCGCCAAGACTCCCAGAAAGGCGAGGACGGTTTGGTTTCTGTTTCTATAGTTCGAGAAAGGTCTGGGCCTTTCTAGAGACAAGATGGGCTGGGTTTAGCGTTGGACACAATTTATAGGCTTTTTATTTGGTTGCTGTTATAGGTTGAGGCCCTCGAATTTCAATGGTTTGAAATTGAACTAAGCTTTTTAAAACGCCCAAAGGTGAACCAACTGGAATAACGGCCTATCCTTCTTAATTAAAAAAAAAAAAGAAAGTTTATTTTCTCAATATACCTCATTTGAAATTCTAACAAATTAAATATTTAGTCCACTAACCTACATATAAATATTTATTTTTGTAACAAAAGAAGTGGTATCCACTTTACACTATACAGACCCGTGGCTTAGATAAATTCAATAAAATCATTCTAAATTTAGGTAAACATTTTGAAGAAAATGGAATCAACTCATTTGAATTCTCATTGCAGATGTGGACGATTGTAGAATTTAATGATATCCATTGAATTTAAATATTAATTTTAAATACTTATTTAAATATATTTTTATTAAACTTTTAAATCCATAATTATATATATTTTTATCAACTCCAATTATATAATATTTTAATCTTTAATTTATTAAAATCTAATTTTACTGTCCCTTTAAATAGAATCTAAAACCCATACATTAAAATTAAAGTTCTCTAAGTATTGCACAAATATTATCCTTTTTTGGCCATAGAAGAACAAAAGCTCAAGGAAAAATTATTCATCGTTTATGTATATTTTAACGAGAATTTAAAATAAAATAATAAATATGTCAACACAAATTATATATTATATTCAAATTTTATTTAAAGTAAAAAGACAAGTGCCCAAAAATTTATTCCATTCAAGTTTCAAAAGCTTTAAAGTCAAATTAAATTAATAATCATATAAGATTGAATTTTATGGAACAATTAGAAGAACCAAAAATTAATCTATTTGATTAAACTCAAGTTCATCATAAATTAATTAAATTCATAAGCATAAGCCATGGTCAATCATAATCAACATTTAAACATAAAGATAAATATATTTTCAAAAATTAGTATACTTGAAAATTGTTTTTAATTAAATTGGGAATAGGTTTTCTTTTGTTTTCAATTAATTTTTGGGGAAAAAAAAGCTGTATTAATTCATAAAATGTTAACAAAATGTGTGTTTTAATTTATTTAAGCTTTACATTTTGAATTCATCACTTTGAAAATTAAATTAATATAAAGTTAAAGAGTTTGTTTCTTCAGCAAATGCTATTATCCTTGTGATCCAAAATTTTGAGAATATTGTCCAGGGCATCTTTGGCAGCCCTGTTATGTGCAATTTCCTTCTTGAGACTACAAGCACCTCTTCCACAAGTTGGTCATCTATGAACACATTAAAGCTGTGCTTTCTTTCCATAAATCTTCAAATTTTACTTTTAAATTTCTCTTCTGACACACTTCATATAATTGCGTCACTGGGTGTATCTTCAGGGTCTCTCGCCTGATTATGGGCTCCAACAAATCCTTGAAAACCTATACATCCAAAAATAAATAAATTCTCTTCTTGCTTATATATATATAAGTTTAGGACGAAAGAAATCTTCGATACAGGGTTAGGGCAAATCTCATGTCTGATAAATGATTTGTAAAAATGATTTATATTAAATTTACAAATCATTTATTAAAATAAATTATTAAGATTCAAACTTAAAATTTACAAATGAATATTTAATTTTATCAACTTAACCAATCTTATTGACTACTTTTATTGTATTACAAAATTCATTGCACTATATTCTAATAATGAAAACTGTTCAACCCCATCCAACATTATTATTGGAATTATGTGACCTAAAAACTTGTTGCATTTATAAGTTCATATTAATAAGAGAAAATTTGCCAAAAATTTTGAAAAAAAAATTCGATGTCAATGTTATAAAGTGTCCAAATTATTAAATTTAATCAAATAATTAAAATCCTAAACTTTAAACCGTAATTATTATTGAAAAACCATTTTATTTAAGTAAGACTATTTTGTCCAACATTTCAATTGTCTGGCTTATTCAACAAATTATGTATTTTTATTTATTTTACATAAGCTTTTTTTTTTGTATTTGAAGTACGGAAATTTAAATTTTAATCATTAAAATTAAAAATAAAATATTTTACTAACAAATTACGTGACTATTGATTTATTTTGACTTTAGAACCTTTGGAATGGGAGATAATTTATGTAAATTCACGAAAGGTTGCAAGGAGTTAAAGGTGAAAGTGAAAGGAAAATGTAAGGTACCTTCCATACGATATCAATGGAGAAATTGGCGTCAATGAAAACGGCGCCGATTACAGATTCAACAAGATCGGCTAATGCCTTTGGCACGTCGACCAGTCCATTAGAATGCAAAGGATAGCGCTGTATTTCTTGAGAAATTGTCGAATCTGTGGAAATTTCTAGATTAGATTATAGCTTGAAAAGTCCAATTTACAAAATCGACCAAAAAATAGAATCACTATACTAATACAAGCATAAGTATAAAAAAAAAAAAACCCATAATCAAAATTAAATAATCATCCAAATAATTATCATTTTATTGTAATTAATTGAATTTTCAAATATTTATTATTATCAATTAAATTTTTATTAGAAATTAATCATCAATATTTATTTTTAAAATAAATATTTAAAAGATTAATTAGATGAAATAAATATTTATGGTTCAATTAATTATAATAAAATAATAAAAATTTAAATAATTATTTAATTTTTGTTTAAAAGTTTTTTTTTTCTTTTTTATACGTAAGCCATTAGTCTATGTATTTATGACCAATAATGGCCCATGCAGCCAAGCTGAAGATGCTTTGGTGACTTGAAGACAAACGAATAATGGATGCCTTTACTGACAAAATCTAACCATAATCCTGATGTAAAAGGAATTCACTAAGCTACAAATCTTAATTTAGAACATAAGACAATAATCCATGATTATTTGTCCTAAACCTTGCCATTTTCAAACATAGACATAGTCATAGCTACGATGCAGCAACTTGAAATTATTCCACGGTACAATATTTTCACATGCAATTTATATAGTTTTTTATTTTTACGCTGTGATCAAATTTTTTTACCTTAAATGATCTCTTGGTCCGACCAAAATTTAACCCAAACTGACAAACCAATGAAAATCAATGGACAATTAATCGTTCGGATCCTCCAAAAACAAGTACATAGTTCAAGGGAAAAAAAAAAAAAAACTCATAAAATGGTGAATCTCTAAACTTTTCTAGTATATTTCAGCAAGTCAACTCAGACCAAGTATCTGGAAAGTAGAAACATCACTATCGAAAAAAGATTTCAACAACTAAAACATTAGACGCAAAATTCGACTTCCTATAACCATTGATGACTTACCCAATGATCATAGTTTTTTTATTAACATCCAACTCTTAGATCTAATTTAGTAGTGTTCGTGCAGTTGAAAAAAATGTTTAAAATGTAATTAGAAAAATATGTTTTAAGAAATTTTTTTTAAAGTTATGATTTAAAAGTTTTAAGTGTCTAACATGATTGTGAAAAAATATGCAAAAAATTAAAATATCTAAAATAATATACATAAAATAATAAAAATTTAAAGACACGGGGGCAACCACTTTCCAAGAAAACTTTCGAGAGGTTTTTTTTTTTTTTTTTTTTGAGTTTGCATATCAAACTTTTAAATAAAAAAGTATTTTTTTTTAGTATTAATGTGAGATAAAAACAGCTTTGGAACCATTTTCAATCTCAATACTAAACTAATCGTTAGGCTAAAATTAAAGAAACAAACTAATATATTATCTCCTAAAAAGTATCAAACTATATATACAAAGCTAATTCTCATAATATTAGAGATTTTTATCTTCTTATTTCATCTAAAAACAATTTAAAAAATAAGTCTTGTTGACACTTACCTGCTTCTCAAGAAGAGGTTTCTTATGACGCAAAAAGCGATGCAGCCCATGTTTAATGGCAACACGAGCCAGCTTCTCCGTATCAACATTAGCCGCTCGGAGCCTGGTCAAATCCCCCGGCGGCAAATCAGGGTACTCGAAGTACTGGTGTTTGGTGAACAGTAGGTTAAGCACAGAATCACCCACGTACTCTAACCGCTCGTTGGATAAGCCGTGTCCCAGCGACACATGTGTAAAAGCTTCTTCTAACAACCGTTTGTTGGTAAACTCATAGCCCAATATCTCCTCCACTTCATTGAGATTCGGCAGCGAGTCTATTATATTTTGAGTTGACTCGACTGCTGATTCGTTTTCTTTTTCGTTAACTTGCAGCTTTTGTAATTGATCCGATATTTGCTCCTCTTGGGTTTTCATGGCTGTCATTGTAAAATGCAAAAGCAAAGAGATTGATGAAATCAAACTGCTAGTAGGATTATTTATAAAGAGAAAAAGATTTCGACGATAGGAAAACGTTGAGTCATAAAAAAATAATAATTCCTTTATGGAAACAATAGATTCGATAATTATAAATAAGATACGAAAACATAAAAAAATATAATCTAAAATTTTAGTTAAAATCGTAAATAAATTTAATAAAAATATATATTTTATTTTAATAAATTCACATAAATTATGATATAATAATTTTTATATTTTACGTATAATTAATATAATATAAATATGATATAAATATATAAAATATCATATCTAAAAGATAAACCAAAAAAACCAATGTTATTTTTATAAAAACAAAAAAAAATTTCTGAAACCCATAATTACCTGTTTGGTCTAAAATTATATATTAAACTGTGACAAAAAAAAAATTGACATTGAATCAAAAAATTCAAGGCATGGAAATCTTTGAATTAAAATTAAATAATATCTAAGTTCTTATCATTTTATTACAATTAATCAATTAAGTTCTCATATTTTTATTTTCATCAATTGAATTTTTATTATACAAAAATTAATTAATT